CCATGAAATTTTTTTTTTTTGGGGGGGTCCGGTTGTGGGGTCTGAACTCTGGGCCTGGCCATGTCCCTCAGCTCTTCAGCTCAAGGCTAGCACTCTACCACTGGAGTCACAGTGCCACTTCCGGCTTTTTTCTTTTTGCTTATGTGGTGCTGAGAAATCGAACCCAGGGCCTCAGGCATGCAAGGCAAGCGCTCTACCACTGAGCTACCTTCCCAGCCCCAATTCTTATCCCCAATTAACTACCAAAAAACCAGAAGTGGGGGCTGGGAATGTGGCTTAATGGTAGAGTGCTTGCCTAACATTCATGAAGCCCTGGGTTCAATTCCTCAGTATCACATAAACAGAAAAAACCCAGAAGTGGCACTGTGGCTTAAGTGATAAGAGTGCTAGCCTTGAACAACAACAAAAAGATACCCATGCCAAATTCAAGCCCTGGGACTGACATAAAACAAACAGAAGTGGAGCTGTGGCTCAAGTGGTAGAGCACCAAACTTAAGCCAAAAAGCTCACGGACAGCACCTAGTCTCTGAGTTCAGGGATAAGCCTTCCCTCCCACCCCCCAAAGAAAGAGAACAGTATACTTTCTATAGGTGAATTGTGTTTGTACATAGGTCTCACATCTCAATCTGCTTTAGTTATTTATGAGTCAATGTGATTTGCGCTGTTGAGACTGAAAAGCATCTTAAGATTTGGGATGGAGAGTTAAGAACAGCAGGCTGGCCACTGGGAGCCGGGCGTGGCTGTGTGGGTGACAGGAAGCCGCCAGGATGTACGTGTGATGCCAAGAGTCAGAGATGGTAATCATGGCCCGTGACGCATTCCATGCCGGTCTGGTCTGCAGCTCGGCCAAGCAGAGTAGCTCCCCTGGGGCACACAGCAGCCAGCTGCTCCCCAGCCCGGCGGGGCCCCCAGCCCCCCACCCACAGCGAGAATCACAGCTGTCTAGGACGGCAGGCGGAACTCTGCACGGCTCTGCCAAGACTGGGAAGGAAGACGTGGAGACAGTGCCAAGTGGCTGCAGGCCGGCCAGGGCTGCCACGTGCCAGGAAAGCCGTGGGGCGGGATCCAGAATCCACAGAGCCCTCGCCAGGGCTCTACATCTGCTGGGCTGGCGGAGCTGCCAGGCTACTGTTGACATGGGATGCACAGGTGCCCAAGCCAGCTGGGCAGAAGGTGGCCAGCTGACAGACAGGGCACAGATGGGTGAAGGGTGAGGCCCCGTACTGCAGGGTCAGCCTTAGCCTGCCCACAATAGCCCCAAACCCAATCATCATCTGATCCCATCTCCCATGACACCCTTCTGGGCTGTGGTAGGAATCTGACTCTACATACTGTTCTACCCCAGGACCCTGCCACAGGCTGTGTCCTCTGCTAGGTATATTTTCCTGTACACCTGGCTCCTAATAAGGGGTCAGCCTAAATGTCCTCTCGCGGGAGTCTCCCCAACGTTTCCTGCTAACATGGCCAGATACCTTCTTGTTCCCCCGTGGACTTGCATGAGCACTGGAGGACCTGGCTCATATAGTAGGTTCTCAATAAGCACAGGAGATAGGTGTTGAGGTTTCCTGCCTGGACTGGGGCTCTCCTTCTCAACTTTTTGCTACAGAAACTCCTACAGGACTCCAGTCTCTGGAGCAACTTTGAACCCCAAACTAAGTGTCCCCCACGCAAGCCAGACAATGACTCTCCCAGGAAGCTTATTTGGGGTCAGAGCTCCTGACCTTCATCCCCTGTGTCTCTGTACACAGGGTCTTGGATGGACCTTGGACCCCAAAGACTGGCTAGCTCTAGTCCTGCTCTTGATTGAGCTATGACCCTGCAAGGTGAAGCCGTCTGTCTGGCTCAGACCCCTCAGCCAGGGCCAGAGCAGATGGCAAATGCCGGAAACTGATAAACATGATTCGAATAATAAACATAATTCATAATAAATATAATTCATCCACCGGTGCTCATTTGTATCTTTTTGGTTGTAGTTATTGATACAAGTTTGAACTCAAGGCCTCATGCTTGCTCAGCTGGTGCTCTACCACTTGAGACATGCCTCCAGCCTGTTTGTTTTTTCTGCCTGTCTTGGGGCTTGAACTCAGGGTCTGGGCTCTGTCCCTGAGCCTCTTGGTGCTCAAGGCTAGCGCTCTACCACTTGAGCCACAGTCCACTTCTGGCTTTGAACCTTGATCCTCAGATCTCAGCCTCCTGAGTAGCTAGCATTACAGATGTGAGGCGTGAACCACCAGCACCCAACTTTGCTGGCCTTTTTGCTGGTTAATTGTAGATGGGTTTCACAGACTTTTCTGCCCTCACTGGCTTGGAACTTCAGTCCTCCAAATCTCAGCCTCCTGAGTGTTTAGAATGGTACAAGCTACCAGCGCCTGGCTCATTTCTATCATCTGAAATCTAGAGATTCCTCCCCAGATGCTGAAGCCCGCTTCTTCTCATCTGCCAGATTCAGACCCAAACAGCACAGACCACTGAACACCCCAGCCCTGGGAGGGGGGGGACACTGAGGTGCGTGCACAAGACTACCTGAATACCCAGAGACATTTCATGCAAGCAGAGCCGCTGGGGATGGACACTGCTACACCCAGGAGCACAGTCCTCTGTGGGTAGGTCAGCTAGCCCTCTGCTCACCTTCACCTCCAAAAGTCAGAGCTAGAGCAGAAAGCAAGGACATCACACAGCCCAGGTGGTGCCACCATGGCTTCCAAGGGTGGCTGTGGACAACAGGCTAGAGATAGCCTCCAACCGACCTACCTTCCTGTACCAACATGATGTCTGTGCCCTGCACCTTCAACACTGCCCTAGGGTAACACCTAACCAAGCCACAAACCCTAAGCCAAAACCTCTCTTGTCCTACCTACCCCTAACACACAACCCTTAACAAGTCTAACCCTAACCAACCTCTCACCCATAACCTTAACCAACAACTATCCCAAACCTAACCATACACCCTAGCCCACAGTTAAAGCTAACCCAAACCTGCTTCCTAGATGTAGCCTGAACCCTAATATAACCCTTTCACCTAGTGCCCACCCAAACTAGCCCTAAAACTAACCCAACCTAAATCAGATCTCATACTCTCCCTTAGCTTCACCCTGCCTCTGGTCCTGTGGCTTGAATTCTGGGCCTGGGTACTGTTCCTGAGCTCATTTTTGCTCAAAGTAATGCTCTACCACTTGAGCTACAACTCTACTCCCAGCTTTTTCTGTGACTAATTGGAGATAAGAGTCTCATGGACTTTCCTACCCCGGCTGGCTTCAAATTGCAATCCTCAGATCTCAGCCTCCTGCGTAGCTAGGATTACAGGCATGAGGCAGAGCCTAGCTCTTCCTTAGGTTTTGTTTTGGTTGGTTGTGGTGTTGGGCTTGAACACAGGGCATGGGCACAGTCCTGGAACTCTTTTGCTCAAGTTTTGTGCTCTACCACTTTGAGCCACAGCTCCACTTCTGGTTTTGGAGTGCTTAATTAGATAAGAGTCTCACAGGGACTTTTCTGCCCAGGTTGCCTTTGAACAGCGATTCTCAGATCTCAGTCTCCTAAGTAGCTAGGATGACAGGCTACCAGTGAGCTACCAGTGCCTGGCTCCCTTAGCTTTTTTTGCTCAAGGTTGGCGCTCTACAACTTGAGCCACAGCTCCACTTCCAGCTTTTCAATGGTTAACTGGACTTGAGAGTCTTATAGGTTTTCCTGCCTAGGCTGGCTTCAAACCATGATCCTCAGGACCCCAGTCTCCTTGAGTAGCTCGGATTATAGGGGTGAGCCACCAACTTCCACCCCTAACCCTAATGTTAAGCCTAGCAGCTGCCTTGATCCAACATTAACTCAAAGCCTAATCCTCTCACCAGCCCAAAACCTAACCCTGACCCTACCTATCCCTAATGCTAAACCCAAACCCTAACCCCACACAGGATACATACAACTTGCACCCTTTTTTTTAATCTGAGTTTTTGGGCACCTGTAATGAAGTCTCTACAAACCATAGGAGCTGATATTCTTTTCTATCAAGCTCCTAGAGGCACAGAAAATGGCACACCACCCCCTTTTTGCCACCCAAATTAGACCCAATGTGGCAGCTGGTACCCGGGCTCAGGCTGCCCTGGGAAGGCATCTCTGCTGAGTCTCACAGCCCAAGCCACCCCAGGCTGCGTCCTAGGCTGGGTGGGAACCACTGGCAGCCACCATGGAGGAGGTCGGGGGGCAGAGCCCCAGCTGGCCTCGGCCTGGAATGCAGGCCCAGCCAGTCACCCGACTACCATCTGGTTCCCATCTGCCCGGCCAGCGGCCAGTGCTCGGCCTGACTTCAAAGGCTCCCTGCCGGCCACTTCCTCTGGCCTGGCCGCCTGCGGGGAAGGGCTAGGGCGGGCCTCTGCTTCCTCAATGCCCCTCCTGGGCCCAGGAAACAATCAGGGGGGTCCTTGACACCCCCTTTACTATAGGCCAGTGCCAGCGTAGAATTACCCATCACCTCCTCTAAGCCTTACGTGCCTGGCTCCTGCCTTTTCCTCTACGGTCGTTTGAACAGTCACCAAGCACCTCTGAAAAGCCATAGGGGGCCAGCACCACAGAGCACACCAGAGAACTTGCCGTATGGCCACGCCCTATGCACACACATATACACAGATGCACATATGCCTGGATATGTGTGCGTGTACACACACACACACACACACACACACACACACACACACACAGAGCTCTCAAGCCAACTGGACTCCATGTGGCTTCCTGGAGTCCACCATCAAAGTTCCAGACATGGGTCCAGCCTGCTCAGACTTGCCTAGCTCTGTTGTCACCTCCTCGACTTGCTTTGGGGTGATCACAGAGCATTCCAGGCGTTTCTCCCCCCGCCCCCACTTCCACACATATGTCTGGTGCCCTGTGTGTCCCGCCCCAGCCTTCACTGCCAGGCTCATCTCAAACACATACAGGGTGCCAGTCTGCCTGACCTGCAACACCCGATACATTTCCACTTTGGCCACCAGATGACACGGAACGCTGCTTACCTGCTTGAACTGCTCCTCGTACGTCCAGTCCCCGTGGTCTGGCGGCTGCAGTTGGGGTACAACATGGGCAGCGCCTCCAGGAAGGGCAGTGCCAGGCCCTGGCCGCTCCGGGCCACCCAGCACTCTCGTTACACCATCTCCACGGAAGGTCTGGGCCAGCTGGGCCTTGCGGGGAAACAGGCCGGCAGAGCCCAGGCCAGCAGGGCCTGGGGGGCCCAGTCCTTCCTCGTCCTCATCCTCCTCATCCTCGTAGTCATCCTCTTCATCCTCATCCTCCTCACCCAGGTCTTCCTCAAGTTCTTCCTCCTCCCACTTTGGCTTTCTAGGGTAAATGCAGGGCACCAATCAGTCAGAAGACAGGAAGATTTATCAACCCAGGGAAGGTCTGGCAGTGCCCCAGCCTCAGTTCCTCCTCTTCCCTGAAAGTAAGGAGAGCTGGCCACCTGCTCAGACTATAGGAATCTTGAGCATCTCCCACTCCCACTTGGGGCACTAGATCTTGGCATTCATTCCTGGCAGGCCTCATCCTAATGCAGACTTTACCTGCCTGATCCTCAACCACTGTGGCCACACATGGCTAGGCCAATGTGAAATTGGATCAAAGGAGCCAGGTGCCATGGGTGGCTCAGACCTGCAATCCCAGTTGTTCATGAAGCTGAGATCTGAGGATCGCAGTTCCAGGCCAGCCCAGGCAGCAAGGTCCATGAGACTCCTATCTCCAAAGAACCACCGAAAAGCCAGAAGTAGAGCTCAAGTAGTAGAGTGCCAGCCTTGAGCAGAAAACCTCAGGGACAGTGTCCAGGCTCTGAGTTCAAGACCCAGGACACACACACACACACACACACACACACAAAGCAGGCAGCACACACTCCGTATGCACTGGCTCATCAACATCACTCTCCCTTTCAAGCCTCAGTCCCTAGATCAGGGACACCAGGCCCCAGACCCCAACTCACAATTCCTCATCATCTGATCCCACATCCTCGAAGCGGCTGTCTCCTTCTGTGTGTCCTGGCCCCTCCCTGCCTCGGCCAGGCAGGTCTGGGGAACCTGGAGCCCCCTCTTGGGTCATGTCCTCATCCTCTGAGCCTGGGGGGCCGTCCTCCAAGCCACCAGGGCTGGACGGATGCCCCAGGCCTGCAGCAGCTGCCCGCATTGCAGCCAGGGCAGCCATCTGTGTCCGCTGCATTCGGGCATTCTCGGGCTCTCTGTCCTCATCTGGGGTGGCCCGGGCTCTGGCTGGGGGTCCAGTGGAGGGAGATTGGGCTGGTGGAGGCTGCCGGGCCTCCAGCTCTTGGCGAGCTCTTTGCTGTCGCTGTAAGAGCGTTTCCATCACAGCTTGAAGCTTCATGGCCCTGCGGGCCGGGCCGCCGCCACCACCACCCCGGGCACCAGGGGCAGGCGGCAGGGGTGGCCCCTGTGGGGAGGGGGCCCGGCCACACTGCAGCGTGGGGGCCTCGGGAGAGCCGGGGCAGTGCAGGGTGGCGGGGAGTGGGGGCGGGGGCCGCCAAGCTCAGACTGAAGGCTGGTGGAGCATGCCAGTGGCAGGTGGGTGGGCAGATGCCTCCTCAGACAGGGCACCCAGGGGCAGAGTCTGGTATCTGGTTCATTCACACGTTTGCAGAAACCTTGAGGGGAAGGGAGAAAAAAGAGGGGAGTCAGACCATGCCAGAGCCTTTCCAATTCACCCATCTCAAGAAATCACACTTCAGTCTAGTGCTGGTGGCTCACGCCTGGAATCCTAGCTACTCAGGAGGCTGAGATCTGAAGATTTCAGTTCAAAGCCAGCCCAGGCAGGACAATCCACAAGACACTCATCTCCAATTAACCACTAGCCTTGAGCAAAAAAAAATTCATGGATAGTGCCCAGGCCTTGAGTTCAAGTCCCACCACTGACAAAAAATAAAAGAATAAACAAGTCAGACCTCAGGCAAGTGCTGGTAGTCACACCTATAATCCTAGTTACTTAGGAGACTTGAGATCTAAGGAATACAGTTTGAAGCCAGCCCAGGCAGGAAAGTCCATGAGCTCTTTCCATTAACCACCAAAAAGGCAGAAGTGGCACTGTGGCTCAAGTGGTAGAACCCTAGCCTTGAGTGAAAAAGCTCAGAGACAGCACCCAGGCCCTGAGTTCTAGCCCCAGTACAGGCACGTACACACACTCACGCAATACACATGAGCGCACACACACACGCACACACACACACGCACACACACACGCGCACACACACACACACACACAAACAAACACACACACACACACACACACACCAGACCTCGAAGGCCTCTAGAAGAATCCTGTGGTCCAGGTGTAAACCTGGTGGCCCCAGTGGAGGCCCCCCCCCCCCAATCCACCATCCACCCTCCCTCCAGCAGGTCCAAGGACCAGCATTACCCACTCCGGATTCCCAGCGGCCCCCTTCCAACCCAGCCACGAGGAAGCACGTTGCCACCATCCGAGCTACCTGGGACACCCTGGGTTATTGCCTCACAGGCAGAGTCAAAGGGGACCTGGCGTTCCTGCACTCTGATTGGCTACCGCTGGCTGCAGGCCCCAAGCATCTATATGGGTTCTGAGTTCTGGTTCTGAGTTCTAGGTGCTGCTCACACCTAGAAGAATGTGGCATCGGAGAGGCCCCAGGTACCCCTTTCTCAAGAGGTCCAGAATCTGTACTTGCTGTATACAAGTGTGGGCAAACCTCCTCCTCGCTCTCCACTGGAACACCAAGCCTTAGCCTCTCAGGCCTCAGTTTCCCCACCAGTGAAATGGCTCGGTAACAGTCCCTGCCTCATTGCACCCCCGTGGGGACAAAGGGGGCTCACAATGGCCAAGGCAGGCACCCCCACCCCCAGGTATCAGAGAAGAGAAGACACTAGGAGGACTCCCTATGGTGCAGATGAGGGAAAACGAGGCTGGAGGAGATCCCTGTCACGAGAGCTACCCACACTGCCCCTTTTTGCAGAAAACAAGGGTCCCCAGTACGCAGTTCTTGGGGGGGCGGTTCCCAAGGGAGTAAATAGCCCAGAATGCAACATTCTGTCTCTGCCTGGAGTCTCCCTCAGCTCACCACAAACACTAGCTGCCCGGAATCCATGAGGGATACCCCAGAACCAGAATCGAGGTCCCCCACCTCCACCCTGGGCCCCTTCATCCCACCCACCCAGGCCAATAAACCAGCTGGGACAGAAATCCAGCAGGACTGGTGTCATCTCAGATGCTCCTCCCAGGGGACAGTGAGGGAGGAAGCAAAGCTCCATCTTTCAAAACAGAGGGTGCAGGAGGCCACCCCAACCCTAACCTGCCAAAGGAACCCCAGGGTTCACACAAAGCTCCCAGGATTGTTGCCTTGAAGACAGGAGGGAGAAGGAGGGGCAGCTTCCAGCGGGAGGCTTTGGGCTGCCTGCCTGCTGCACTCTGGACCCTCGGGTGACCTGCCCTCCACCCAGGGGACTCTTGCAGAATAGATTCCCCTAGTTTTTTGGGGGGAAGGGGGATCCTACTGAAGCCACAGGGGCCAGACAACCTGGACCCCAGCTCCGCCTGGCCTTCCAGCAGAAGGGACAGGGTGCTGTTGGGGGCCTAAGGTAGATGGTCCTAGGGGAAAGGGGACAGGCCCTAGCCCCACAGGGCCTCAGGTCCCTGTTGGTACAGTGAGGGCAGGGTGGGGCGGGGCACAAAGACCTCAGGGGCCAGAACACTACAGAGTGACCCATCAGACCCTTGTCCTGGCCAGGCAAGCAGGAGCAGCACCCAGACCCACCCCTGCCCCCAGGGCAGCTGGTCAACCCCCCCCCCCCCCCCCACACACACACACTGACCCAAGAAGTGCTGAAGGGACATTTCTGGCCGGGTCTGGTCTGGTCAGCCACCCCTCCCCCACCTTTGACAACTTCAAGATGAGCCCCCCCCACGGAAACGGGCCAGGCCACGCCCCCTCTTGGGGGGGGAGGAGAGAAGGAAGAGGCCAGAGGAAGCCACGCCTACCCACCAGCCCCCCCCCTCCTCTCGTGGGCCTGCAGGGTTTAATGACCCTTCCGGGTCGCTGGGTGGGGGAGGGGAGCAGGGCAGGCCTCCACAGAGGGGCCGCTGGGGAGGAGGGGGCAGGGGGGAACCCCAGACCCCCATCAGCACTATGAACCCTAAACTGGCAACGCCCGCCCTTTGGAGACCCCCTCCCCCCCAAGAGCCCTTTGTCCTGGGGGTGGGGGGCCACCACCCCACATTTTATGACAGCTCCACCAGGAGGGCAGTCCCAGGCGGGAAGTAGGTGCTGGGTGGTCCTGAGGACCTGGCAGGGGTGGGGAGGGGGGAGACCTAGGGCCACACCCTCTGCACTCTGCCCCCCCCAGGCTGGGGGGGAGGAGGGAGAGAGAGAGAGAGAGAGAGAGAGAGAGAGAGAGAGAGAGGTCACCCGCTTGGCCGGGCCTTGCAAAACATGGTTATTTAAAGAGTTGTGCAAGGCTGGGGCCGCGGGTGGTGAAAGGGGCCCCTCACTCCGCCGCGGGAAGAGGAGGGGGAAGGGCAGAAAGCTGGGGAGGGGGGTTGAGAAAGTGGGGAGCCCCCCCCTCCCAGAGGAAGTGAGAATAGCAAATCCGAAAAGGCAGCGGCAAAAGACGACAAAACCCCCAGGTCAGGATTTCAAAGGCTTCTTGGAAAGCGGTAGATTTGCATGGGGTGTGCGTGTGTGGTGGGGTGCAGGGAGTGGGGTGTGTGTGGAGAGCCCGGGTGTCCAAAAACGGAAGGTATTAGACAAGCCCGCCGCCCAGCCTGCGCGAACGTTGGAGTTGACACACGCGCGCGCCCCGCGCTTCCTGCGCCCCGGATTTTGTACCTTAGAATGGGGTGTGGGGGCATCCTGCTGGGACTGAGGAAGGGGAACTTATTCCTGAGGACCCCCCCAGCACCTCCACTTCCCCGGGCCGGGGAGCCTGGGGCCGGCGCACCCCGAGCTGCAGGACGCGGTCCCAAGTGCCCGCGAGCCGCTCGGGGAGGGTCCCCGGGAGCTGCCCACCTCCGGGGGGGGGCTGGAGAAGACACACAACGGGGGTGTCGGCAGGGAAAAGAAATAGCGCTTCACCACCCCACCCCGTCCCCAACTTCCATCCCGAGGGAGCGCAGCCCCCCGCGGGCGCGCACGCAGCGCCCATTTCCTTCCGCCGGGTCCGCGGAGGGCCGCGCCGCCGGCCGGGGGGTTCCGAGACCCGGCCGCGCACCACGGGCACCCCGAAACCCCGGCTGCGGTGGGGGGGGCGCTCGTCCCGCAGAGCCCGGGGGACCCGTGCCGGTGTCGCTCGCCTAACTTTGGAGGGACCCCCCCCCTCCGTCCGTCCCTCCCACGCCACCTCCCCAGGACGCAGGGCGCGCAGCCCCGGGGGTTCCACGGCCTTACCGTGCGGAGCGGCTCCGGAGGGGGGGCCCGGAGCCCTCGACCCCCGCCCGGCCTCTCCCGGCCTCGGCCCCGCGGCCTCCCCGCCCCGCGCAGCCTCTCGCCCCGGCCTCCCCCGCGCTCGGTGCGCGCCCGCCCGGCTGCCGGCCGCCCGCGGGGGCCGGTGCGGCGCGCCCCACTCACCGACTCCGCGGCGGGCCGCGTCCGCGTCCGCACCCCCGCCCGTCCGGATTGGGACGAGACGCCCCGCGCGCGCGGCCGGTCCCCCCCCCCCCCCGCCCCGCCCCTCCCCCACGGCGCTCCCCGCCCCGCAGACAAATCACCGGGTGACAAATCGCTCTCAGATGCAAATACCTCGCCGGTGATTCAGCCGCCAGGCCCCCGGGACGCGGGAGGGGTCTGCCGGGCCCCCACCCCTGCTCCCTGACGGCCCCGCCAGTCCCCGCCGTTTGCACAACTCCTCCACCGGCGGGGGCGGGGGGGGGGGCGCTGGGGATCCGCGGGAGGAGGCGGCGGAGGAGCCGGGCGCGGGGGGAGGGGGAGGCGAGCAGCAGCGGACGGAAATTTTTTTTAGGTCTCGGCCCCTTTAAATAATAATAAATAATAAAAAAGAAAGGGAATGGGGCTGCGGGAAGCCCCGCCCCCTCCGCCTAGGGACGGTGGACAAAGTGCGCGCCCCTGCCCGAGGCGCACAGGACGCTGTGTGTGTGTGTGTGTGTGTGTGTGTGTGTGTGTGTGTGCGTGTGCGTGTGTGTGTGTGTGTGTGTGTTGAGGTGGGCTCCTCTCCTCCCCCCCCCCACTCCCCTGCGCGTGTGTTCTGGGGGAAGCCAGTCCCGGGACCCTCTCCCTTCCTCTGCTCCGGAACCTAGCATGGAGCTACGGAGCTCGGAGTTTCACCTCTGCCCCTTGGGGCCGAGCCGCCGCCGGCGAGGTTCCCGGCACCGCGGGCCTCGGGGTTCCCGTCGGAGGAATGGGCTTGGAGCCCGGCACCGGCCGACCGACCGGGGCTGCGGGGCGGGGAAGCGCGAGGCGGGCCCGCCCCGGAGGCCGCGCGCGTGCGGGCCGCGGTGAGGGGGCGCGGCCTGGGCGGGGCCCGCGGGGCGCGCGCGCGCGTGGATGGTGGCGGATCCCCTCGGCCCTCGCTCCCGGGGGGACGGGAGGGGGGAACCGGGGGGAATCGGGGGGGAACCGGCGGGGGGAGGACCGGGGGGGGACCCGGCGAGGGGGGGGACCGGGGGGGGACCCGGCGGTGGGAGGGACCCGGGGGGGGACCCGGCGGGGGGAGGACCGGGGGGGACCCGGCGGGGGGGGGGATCGGGGGGGGAACCGGCGGGGGGAGGACCGGGGGGGGACCCGGCGAGGGGGGGACCCGGGGGGGGACCCGGCGGGGGGGGGGCTGTCCGCACCCCCCCCAGCGTACAGCGCGGGGTTCGGTGCATCCCCCCCCCTCTCCTGACCCTCACGTCGGGGCAGTTGGGGGTCCCACGTCGGGGCAGTTGGGGGGTCCCAGGCCTGACTCCTCTCTGGAACTCAAAATGGGACGCCCCCCCCCCACCCCGACCCCGGGCTCCGGGCCTGGGGCAGCAGGGGGCCGGCCCGGCCTCCCCCCCCCCACCCCGGGCCTGGGGCAGCAGGGGGCCGGCCCGGCCTCCCCCCCCCCACCCCGGGCCTGGGGCAGCAGGGGGCCGGCCCGGCCTCCCCCCCCACCCCACCCCGGGCTCCGGGCCTGGGGCAGCAGGGGGCCGGCCCGGCCTCCCCCCCCCCCCCTCGGCCCGCTGGCGCAGCCCCTGCGCCATGCCTGAGGCCCAGGTTCCCCCGGCCTAGGCTTCTCCAGCACCAGGAATAGCTGCCCCTGCTTCACCCCATCCCCAGGCAGAGCTGGAAGCTGTTGCCCCAGAGGGGTAGTTTAGAAACACCCCCAGGTAAGATGTGGGGGCCCAGCCCGCCACACCCCAGCTCAGGTCGCTAAGGCTATTGACAGCGGGAGGCAGTGGCTCAGGCCTGTCCTCCCAGCTACTCTGGAGGCTGTGATCTGAGGCGCGCAGTTCAAAGCCAGCCCCAGCAGGAAAGTGTGTGAGACTCTATCTCCAACAAACTATATTTAAAAAAAAAAAAAAAAGAAGAGGAAGAAGCTGGAAGTGGAGCTGTGGCTGCATTAACCTTGAGGAAGAAGCTCAGGGACAGTGTGTGAGCCCTGAGTTCAAGCCCCAGGATCCACAAACAAAACGAAACAAAACAAAAGGCTGGCTATTACCCATCCAGGGCTGGTGACTCACATCTGTAATTGGGTTTCAATTCAAAGCCAAGCCAGGTCAGAAGAGTCCATGAGACTTATCTCCAATGAAACAAACAGAAGGAGGAGGAGGAGGAAGAGCAGGAAGAGGAAGAGGAGGAGGAGGAGAAGGAGAAGGAGGAGAAGAAGAAAACACAAGTGTAGTCATGGCTAAAGTAGTAAAGCAGAAAGCTAAAGGACAGCACCCAGGCTCTGAATTCAAACCATATGTAGTACCACACCAAAAAAAAAAAAAAAGCCAGGCACTGGTGGCTCATGCCTGTAATCTGAGCTACTCAGGAGGCTGAGATCTGAGGATCACAATTCAAAGCCAGCCCAGAGAAGGAAAGTCTGTGAGGCTCTGCAATAAACCACCAGAAAACTGGAAGTAGCACTGTGGCTCAAGTGAGAGAGTGCTAGCCTTGAGCCGAAGAGCTGAGGGACAGCGCCCAGGCCCAGAGTTCAGGCCCCACAACCACCACCACCACCAACACAAAGGTAAAGGGCAGAGTAGAGGGGAGGGAGAAGGCCCTACCTCTAAGGTCAGAGTGGTACTGAGGTTCCCCCAGGGGTAGGAGGGTGAGGGGCTACATTGGTCACAGCTGCCTCCACTGAGGACTCCTATTTTTAGCCCAGGGAGTGATGGGGGAATTTATACACAGACTTGCTGGCTCCGAGCTGCCCTATGGGTGGGCAGCAGGGTAGATGTCATGGGGATCTTTCTGTCTCTCAAGCCTGAGCAAAAGGTTTTGGGGAGATTCTATCTCAAACAGTGACTGAGTGCTGTGGGGCATGCCTGTCATCCCCAATGATAGCACAAGAGAACTGAAGCCCAGACTCACCTGGGAAACATACTAAGACTCTGTTAAACTTACTCATACTTGCTGGGGTGCCAGCATAATCTTAGCTATTCAGTAGGCTGAGATCTGAGGATTGAGGTTCAAAGCCAGCTTGCCTAGGCAGAGAAGTTCATGAGACTCTCATCTCTGATTACTTAATCACAGCAAGGCTACCAGTGGAGTTTCCGCTCAAGTGGTAGAGCTGCAGCCTTGAACAAAAAAAAAGCTAAGGGATGGAAATGTGGTTTAGTGGTAGAGTGCTCGCCTAACATGCATGAAGCTCTGGGTTCAATTCCTCAGCACCACATAAAGCTGGAAGTGGCACTGTGGCTCAAGTGGTAGAGCACTAGCCTTGAGCACAGAGGCACAGAGACAGAGCCCAGGCCCTGAGTTCAAGCCCCAGGACCAAATAAATAAATAAATAGCTAAGGGACAGCACTCAAGCTTTGAGTTCAAGCCCTAATACTGGCACAAAAATAAAATAACCCACATGAAAAGGGGCTACTGGTGTGGTTCATGTGGTAGAATGCTTGATTAGCATGCAGGAGGCATTTGAGGGAATGTCCCTGTACAAATTCACCCAGACTCCATTTTCATAGCTCTTCCCATTTTGGGGGCGGGAGAGAGAGAGAGAGAGAGGGAAGGGGCAACATAGTCCAAAAATAAATATACTCATGTTGGGGGTTCACACCTGTAATCCTAGGTACTCAGGAGGCTGAAATCTGAGGATCACAATTCAGAGCCAGCCTGGTCAGAAAAATCTGTGAGCCTCATGTTCAATGAACCACCAAAACAGCCAGAATTGGAGCTGCAGCTCACATGGTATAGTGCTAGTCTTGAGCTAATAGAAGCTCAAGGACAGTACGCAGGCCCAGAGTTGAAGCCCCAGGACCAACAATGTACAGAACAAAGAAGAAAAAGGAAGGAAGAAAGGAAAAAGCTAGGAAGAGTACTCATAACCTGACTAATGTACCTGTAACCTATACATCACCTATCACTTTTTTTTGTCGGTTGTGGGGCCTGAACTCTGGGCCTGGGCGCTGTCCCTCAGCTCTTCAGCTCAAGGCGAGCACTCTACCATCTAAGTCACGGCGGCACTTCCGGTTTCTGGTGGTTAATAGAAAAGCCTCATGGACTTTCCTGCCCAGGCTAGCTTTGAACCGTGATCCTCAGCTCTCAGCCTCCTGAGTAGCTAGGATGACAGACGTGAGCCACCAGCATCCAGCCACCTATCTCTTTTATAATGACAATTTTTAAAAGTTAGGCACCAGTGGTTGAGGACCACAGTTCAAAGCTAGCCAGGCAGAACAGTCTGTGTGAGACTTATCTCCAATTAACTACTCAAAAACTGGAAGTGGAGCTGTGGCTCAAAGTGGTAGAGCTCTAGCCTTGAGCAAAAGAGCTCAGGGACAGTGCCAGGTCCTGAGTTCAAGCCTCATAACCACCACCAACAAAGCAGTAAAAAAAAATTAAAATTAAAAAGCAAACTCTCCATATGTCATATACATATGTTCCTCCTTAAATTTCTTACCTCAGGGCCTTTGTACTGATTGCCCCCACTAGTAGTTGGTCTGCCCTTCCCTTCCCTACATGGCTTCTTGCTCTGTTCTTTCTGTATCAGAGTCCAGGGCCCATTACCCCTAGATGGCCCCTGATACTTTTTCTGTTGCAAGAGTTGTATTGACTTACCTCACTCTATTCACAGCAGGATCCCCAGTCCTGAGAACAGAGCTGCCTAAGGAAGTTGGTGAAATAAATGTCTTCCTGTGTCCTGTGTCCCCTCCCTAACTCCCTTCTCCTGGGTTTTTGGTGTCTGTGCACACAAGTCTCCAAATTACACATACATACTATGCATACAAACCCAGGCGCTGGTGGCTCTCACCTGTAATCCTAGCTATTTAGGAGGCTGAGATCTGAGGATTATGGTTCAAAGCCAGTCTGGGCAGGAAAGTCCATGAGACTCTTATCTCCAGTTAACCACCAGAAAACTGGACCTGGTGCTGTGGCTCAAGTGGTAGAGCACTAGCCTTGAGTTGAAGAGCTGAGGGACAGTGCTCAGGCCCAGAGTTCAAGCCCCACGACCAACAAAAATAAAAATAATAATATACATACACACATGAATGTAGGTATATCTTCTTGCTTAAACCAGGACCTTGCACATGCTAGCACTCTGCCACTAAGCCCCATCCACCTGCAAAACCTTTTTTTTTTTTTTTTTGCCAATTCTGGGGCTTGAACTCAGGGCCTGGACACTGTCCCTGAGCTTCTTTTGCTCAAGGCTAGCACTCTACCACTTGAGGTACAGTGCCACTTTAGCTTTTTCTGTTGATGTGGTACTGAGGAATTGAACCCAGGGCTTCATGCATGCTAGGCAAGCATTCTACCACTAAACCACAATCCCAGCACACAGGTTTTTTTTTCTTTCCAATTTGGAAGGAGGCCTCTATATCTCAGCCTGGACATAGTCTTAATCCAAACCTGTCCCCAGGGTAACTTTATTGACATTAGATAAAGAAGTCCTAGAGACCCACAGGGGTGTAATTTAAAATTCTTTTAAAGTGTCAGACTCTGGTGACTTAAGCCTGCACTAGCCTTGAGCAAAAGAGTTTAGGGACAGCACCTAGGCCCTAAGTTCAAGCCTATGATCAACCAAAAAATAAAAATAAAAAAAATAAGGGGGTGGGGGGAGCTGGTACTGGAGCTAGAACTCAGGGCCTGGACACAGTCCCTGAGCTTTTTTGCTCAAGATTGGCACTCTGCTTACCACTTCAGCCACAACTCCACTTCCATTTTTTTGGTAGTTTATTGGAAAGAAGAGCCTCATGGACTTTCCCACCCAGGCTGGCTTCAAACCTCAATCCTCAGATCTCAGCTGCCTGTGTAGCTAGGATTATAGGCATGAACCATTGGTGCTGGGGCCATAGTATATTTTGAGTATTTTTTAATAGAAGAGACCTTAAATCGTATAGAGCCCGGGAAAATTCTCATGTGGCTCAGCATGTCTTCTTTCACAGCGGGGGACATATCCACCCAGGAGTCCAGGTTGGGATGCTAATCACTCCCAACCTGCTCTGCGCAGGGGATGGGTGTAGGGGAGAAGACTCTTGGGGGCGTGCGCCACCTGCTGGACGGCCTCGGGGCTGCAGTCTGGGATACTCGGTTTGAGTGGGTGCGGCTATAATCCGGTGGGTGCGGTTCTAGGGGGCGGTGCTAAAGCCGGGGGCGTGGCCTCTGCCCAAAGAGCGGAGGTCGCTAGGTGGCGCCCTCTCACCTGTGAACAAGCTTTTCATCTCAAACTTGGGGACGCAGGGCTACAGACAATTTTTGTTGACGTTGTTGCAGTGCTGGGGGCCAAACCTAGAATTCCACCACTTTGTAGCCCTCAGTGAATGTATGGAGTCTTCCACAATATAAACTATGACTTACATTTGAATGTTTAAATTTGTCATTTCTGTTTTTCTTTGTCCAAGACCAGGATTTAATACCTGATGCTTTCTCTCATTGACTGGTGCTCTATCAACTGAGCCACACTTTCAACCCCTTCAATTTATTTTGTTCTGTTGCAGCTGGATGTGAGCTCACGGCCCAGCCTTGCTAGGTATGTGATCTGCTGAGCCACACCTCCAACCCATATATATATATATTTTTTTGCCAATACTAGGGCTTGAACTCGGGGCCTGGGCACTGTCCCTCAGCTTCTTTTGTTCAAGGCTAGCACTTTAGCACTTGAGCCACAGCACCACTTCTGGCTTTTTCTGTGTATGTGGTACTGAGGAATCAAACCTAGGGCTTCATGCATGCTATGAAAGCACTCTATCACTAAGCCACATTCCCATTCCCAAGCCCATTTGTGTGAGTGTGTGTGTGTGTGTGTGTGTGTGTGTGTGTGTGTGTGTGTGTGCTGGTACTGGAGCTTGAACTCAGGGCCTAAGCACCGACCCTTAGTTTTTTTTGTTTTGTTTTGTGCTGGTCCTGGGGCTTAAATTTAGGGTCTGGGCACTGTCCCTGAGCCTCCCTGTGCTCAAGGCTAGCACTCTACCACTTGTGCCACAGCGGCAGCTTTTTCTGTGTATGTGATACTGAGGAACAGAACCCAGGGCTTCATGGGTGCCAGGTAAGCACTCTACCACTAAGCCACATTCCCAGCCTGTCTCTTAACTTTTTCACTCAAGGCTAGTACCCTACCACTTAAGCTATAACTCCACTTCTGACCTTTTTCTAATTAATGCAGATAAGAGTTTCATGACTTTCTGGGTTGGCTTTAAACAGCTATCCTCAGATCTCAGCTTCCAAAGCAGCTAGGATTATAGGCATGAGCCACTGGTACCCAGCTTGTAGGTTATTCAAAGATGGAGATCTACAGATGTTTTGGCCCAAACTGGCTTCCATATGTGATTCTCTGGATCCTACTTTCCTGAGCATTTAGGATTGTATGCTTGAGCTTCAACCTCTCCTCTATTTGGGAGACTCTGGAATTCTCAGAGAGGTTGGGAGGGGGGCAGGATTCTTCAGGATGGTTGAATGATGTCCTCAGGGTTGGGGTAGAGGGTCAGTTCTCCCTTCTCTCCCCAACTAGTCCACATCCATCCCCACCACACACACACACACACACACACACACACACACACAGCCAGAGCCTCAGTCTTCCCTTGGGAAGAATGGGAACTGTAACCAGTCCCATGGGACTATGACAGCTCCAAGCAACACAGGGTCCTGAATTAAGTTTCAGGAGTCCTTGCAACTAAGTCCAGAGAAAGAGGGGGGAGGAACTGGAGGAACAGACCAGCAGGCCTGGGGCAATCGGGCAGAAGACAGGCCAGGAGTTGGGCTTTGTCCTGAGAGCAAAAAAGGAGCCCTGGTGGATCTTACAGCCAGAGAGACTTGTGGCCTGAGGTTGACATTAAGGTCTCAAAGCCTGAGTACTCTCTGCCCTGAAGTCAGGAGAAGGAAGTGTCATCTAACCACCATTCTGGTGGTTCCAGGGGTTTGATGGGGGAGCGGGGCTTGGGAGACAAAAGCTAACCACTGTAGTTCAGGCAAGTGCTCTACCTCTTGAGCCACAGCACCACTTCCTGTTTTCTGGTGGTTAATTGGAGATAAGAGTCTCATGAACTTTCCTGCCCGGGCTGGCTTTGAACTGCCATCCTCAGATCTCAGCCTGTATAGTTAAGATTACAGGCGTGGGCCACTAGCACCCAGCTAATTTTTTTTTCTTTTGCCAGTCCTGGGGCTTGAACTCAGGGCCTGGGCACTGTCCCATCTGCTTGCATTCTGCCATCTGAACCATAACACCACTTCTGGCTTTTTCTGTGTATGTGGTACTGAGGAATTGAACCCAGGGCTTCATGCATGCTAGGCAAGCACTCTACTACTAAGCCACGTTCCCAATCCCTCAGTGTAACTTTTATTATAGCAGCTGAGTGAGTCATGTCTGATCCCAGATGGAGGCATACCAAACTAGGTAAGATGACAGAACACTCCCAGTGACATGATCTGTGGGATGGATGAGTGGACCAGCCAGCATGGTCCCTCCACTCAGCCCTGACCCACCACACCTTTAGCTCTGCCCACCCAGTCATCTCTACCCATCCAGTGAGCTCCACCCACCAATGAGCACCACCCTCCAGTGAACTCCACCCCCAATATGCTCCACCCTCCATGAGCACCACCCACTGGTGAGGTTCACATGCACAGCAGGACCTCCCCACACAGGAGGAGCATGTGGGCAGCCAGGAACATCTCAGGGTTGCTAGACCCACCCTACAACATGGAGGGGCCCTGAAGACCCTGCTCAGTGAGAGAACCAGACACAAGGGCCCCACAGTGTAACTCCATTGATAGGAAATGAACCATATAGACAGGAAGTGGGTGACAGGATGTGGAGGATGGGACTGAATGCTCATGGGGACAAGTCTGCTTTGCGGATGATGAGATGTTCTAAAATCGACAGGGGGCTTTGTTGGCTATATCTCAGATTATACGAAAAGCCTCTGAACTGAAGCTTGATGTAGAACTGCATCCCTTTAATCCCAGCACTCAGGAGGTGGAGGAAGAGGCAGGAAGATGGTGAGTTCTGGACCACCCTGAGCTCCATAGTGAATCCTTGTGTTAAAAAAAAGTCTTAGTCGGGCGCCAGTGGGTCACACCTGTAATCCTAGCTATTCAGGAGGCTGAGATCTGAGGATCCTGATTCAAAGCCAGCCTGGGCAGGAAAGTTCATGAGACTCTTGTCTCCAGTTAACCACCAGAAAACTGACAGTAGTGCTGTGGCTCAAGTGGAAGAGAGCTTGCCTTGAGCTGAAGAGCTGAGGGATAGTGCCCAACCCCAGAGTTCAAGCCCCTGACAAAAAAAAAAAAAAAAAAACTTGCACCAATAATTCTTTTCTGGAGGGCTGGGAAGGTGGCTCAGTGGTAGAGCACTTGCCTTGCATGCATGAGGCCCTGGGTTCCATTCCTCAGCACCACATAAGAAAAAAGAAAAAAGCCGGAAGTGGCGCTGTGGCTCAAGTGGTAGAGTGCTAGCCTTGAGCTGAAGAGCTGAGGGACAGCGCCCAGGCACAGAGTTCAGGCCCCACGACCGGACCAAAAAAAAAAAATTCTTTTCTGGAAGCTTCTATCAAAGAATTAAGAACACTTGCTACTAGAAGTAGCCCAATGGTCCAGCCTGGGAACAGTAGTCAGTGCCACCTGGAGTTATGCACAGAATTCTGGGAGGTGACAAAACCATACACCTCTGGGGTGTTGGTAGAGCTGGAGATGGGATCCAGGGAACTTACTAAGTATCAACCAATGCCCTGCTCTGTGCTCTAGAGATCTTTTATCTTCCATTCTGGAAATTGAACCCAGGACCTTGCACATGCTAGGCATTCTACCACAGAGCCAGGGCTCCAGCCTGCCATTGTTTTTCTTATGAAATTAGTTAGATCTTACTCTGTGTGTGTGTGTGTGTGTGTGTGTGTGTGTGTCTGTCTGTCTGTCTGTCTCCTGCTTTGGGGTGCTCTACCACTGAGCTTTATCCTCACCAACCCCTAGATCTGCAATCTTACAGTAATAAAGACAGTGCTACCAAATGGCTGAACCTTCCTGGAAAGACCCAGAAAGTACAGGTGTTAGCTCGTCTTCAATTCGAGAGGATTACAGAAACGATTGTTACCACATTGAAAGCAAAAGAGAGCAAAACATTTTCACTGATGATCTGGAACAATAAAAATAATAATAGCCTGATGCTGGCTGACCCTAACCACTCAGGAGGCTTGAGATCTGAGCATCCCAGTTCTCCGCCAACCCCAGGCATCTTCTCTCCAAGTAACCAGCGCAAAGTGAAGCCGTGGCTCAAGCGGTAGAGTGCCAGCCTTGAGCAGAACTATATTAAGCAAGAGCGTGTGCTAGGCCCCGAGTTCAAGCCCCTGTCCTAGCACACGCGCACACTCACACACACACACACACAATATTAATAACAATAATTGTAGCCCCACTCCAGTGGATTCCCATAGAGTAAGCTCAGAGAGGGGCCGAGTGCTTTGGCGCTCTGGCTGGGGCAGGATGCGGGGCCAGGCTGTGCAGCTCCCCCGTGGGGTCCAGTCCGGGTGCGCGTGGCTGGCGCTGGCGTCCAGGGGCACAGGGGCACACACGGCGGAAGGCCTGTCGGAAATGGGAGCCCAGGAAGGCGTAGAGCAACGGGTTCAGCGCTGAGTTGCTGTAGGACATGCAGTGTGCCCAGATCTTAAGTGCGTAGGCAGCGTAGCTGCGCGGGTGCCACGAGCCAGCTGGGCCCAGAGCCTGCAGCACCAGGAACAACTGGATGGGGCCCCAGCAGGCAGCAAAGAGCAGGACCACGGCGGCCACCAGCCTGGAAACCTTGGCACGCACGGCTCCCGCGCGCTCAGCCAACAGCTGTCCCTGAATGGCAGAAGGGTGAGGGGTTAGAGGAAAGCACTGCCCCCCAAATCCAGCTCCACTTTTATCTGTTTGGGTCAGCCCTGGCTTTGTGGTCAGGCCTGGGGACTGATGCTGAGCTCTTCAGCTCAAAGCTAGTGCTCCACCACTTGAGCCACAGTGCCACTTCCAGTTTTCTGGTGGTTCATTAAACTCTCACAGACTTTCTGCCTGGGCTGGCTTTGAACCAAGATCCTCAGATCTCAGCCTCCTTAGTCTCTAGGATTACAAGCGTGAGCCACCCGCATGAAGTGAGTTTGGAGAGAGATGGATAAAACAAGTTTCAAAAGGATGTATTCCCGGTATTCCCATGGCCCCGTTCTCACCCCGAAGCTACACACCTGCAGGGCCCCTTCCGCGGGTGCCGGGCGCACGGCGGCGCGGCCCAGGTGGCGCAGCATGGCGCCGTAACAGGCGCAGGTGGCCAGCAGGGGCAGCAGGTAGAGCGCCAGCAAGTTGTAGAGCGCGAAGGCGCGCTCCAGGGCGCGGCTGGGGAACGCCTCGCTGCAGTAGGTGCGCGGTCCGGTGGAGAGGCGGTGCAGCGTGAGCACCGGGGCAGACACGGCCGCAGAGCCTGCGCCACAGGCCAAGATGAAGACCCTGGTTCCGAGGACTTAAAGCTTGGGGGAGCCCATGCCCTCCCCCCGGTCCCCCGATCTTCCTAGGAGCCTTCCAGAGGCTCGGTGTGGCCTGAACTCGTGCCATATGGCATGCTGCCCTGTGGACACCCCTGGTGACCTAGAGACCTAGTGCGCCCAACTTTAGGTGGCCCATTGAGGCCAGGCTGGTGTCGCAGGGGTAGCAGTGAGCCTTGGGCATCCAGGGCACCAGGACTCCCCCCCTCTACCCCCTCCCCAGCACCCACACCACTACTCACCCACCCAGATGCTGAGGCTGACTGCCAGCGCCAGGCGCGGAGTGCGGCGGTGCAGGGCGCGCAGCGGGAACACCGTCACGTACCAGCGGTCCACGCTCATGGCCGTTAGGGTGGCGCATGTGGCCTGCACCGAGACCTGGACAAGCAGGGATGAGTGTCCTGCCGGTCCCCCCACATACCCGACTACTCAGGCACACACTCTGGTGTGTTTTTCAGAGAAGGGTATCCAGGGGGCCACCAGTTGGGGGACAGGAGAGGGAGAGCTGGAAAGGGAGGCCAAGAGGGGTGGAGGGAGGAGCAAAAGAGCCGTAGGAGGGGCGGGGGTCGCCTGGCACCCCAATTTTGAGGCAGGGAGCAGCAGAGCTTCTCTAGGAGGACGATTCTAGAAAGCATCCACCCACCCTACCATCGCCTTGGTGTCCAGGAACCATTTTCCCCAAGCCCAGTCGGTCAGGAACCCGGTGGCTTATGTCTGTAATCCTAGCTACTCAGGAAGCTGAGATCTGACGATCTCAATTCAAAACCAGCCGGGGCAGGAAAGTTTGTGAGGCTACAATCACCAGTAAACCACCAAAAAGCTAGAAGTGGGACTGTGGCTCAAGTGGTAGAGCGCTAGCCTTGAGCAAAAGAGCGCAGGGACAGTGCCAAAACCCTGAATTCAAGCCCCAGTGTCCACATTAAGAAAACAAAATAAATAAAGTGGAGGAGGAGGGAGGAAGAGGGAGGAGGAGGAGAGGGAGAAGGAGGAAGAAGACCTGCTAAGCTTTAGGCTGCAAATATAGCCCCGCCTACCGTCGGCCACGCCCACCTACAGGCACACACCCCCTTCCACCCAGCTGTCCAATGTGGCCCCGCTTGGGCCACGCCCACCAGTGCTTACTCCAGGCCCCTCCCCCGCAGACACGAGGCCACGCCCCCTTCCAGACCCCGCCCGCCGCCCCTTCCCGCCCGGCGGTCCGGGCTGCGCACCTGCTGGATGTAGTTGACGAATTTGCACATGAAGTCGCCCAGCACCCAGGCGGGCAGTGGGTAGAGCAGGGCCGTGAAGGGCACGCAGCACAGCAAGAAGGTCACATCCGTGACCGCCAGGTTGGCTGCAGGGGAGGGGGGGAAAGGCACGGGCGCTTGGTGCAGGGTGGTCCCAGCGACCCTCTACCACCATGGGCAGAGACGCCGAGGCGCCCTCGACTATTCCCCCTTCGGAGCCATTCTGCTCCGTTCCTGAACATCCTTTGTCCCATCTGAGCCTGACTCCTCCCTGAGTTCCACCCCAGGACCTGGACCAAAAAAGGGGGTGGGGGCTTGGGGCGCCCGCGAGGGGAGGAGAGCAGGGTCTGGGCTGCTGTGACCGGCCGGGGTAGGGGGGGGGAGGACACGCTCCAGGCCCTCGCCTGGCGTGGCACACTCACCGATGTAGAAGTTGGTCACCGTGCGCATCTGTTTGTGGCGGCAGATGACATAGATGACCAGCGAGTTCCCCACCAGGCCGAGCACCATGAGCGCGGCGAAGAAGAGCGGGACGAGCCAGGCGTCCAGCAGCCGCGGCGCGGGGCCCAGGCCGTCGGATGCGTTGGCGACGCAGCCGGGGCAGCTGGAAACGTTGGCCGGTGTCCACCAGGACACATTGGGCCCCGATGAAGCCGCGACATGCATGGCTTGGCACCGTCTTCCTCCTCCTCCTCCTCCTGGCTGTCTGCCGGGATTTGTCTCGAGGACCGAGTCCGAGCCCGGGAAGAGTGCGGAGGCTCTGGAGGCGGCGGGATAGGAGGATGTCTCAGTCGCCGTGGCCTCGCGCGTTTATACCCGGCGCCCTCCCCTGGTCCCCGCCTGCGCGCCCTCCCCGCGCGCTCGCCCACCCTCCACCGCGCACGCACGCGGCGCTCCTCGCCTCCACCCAGCCGGGTCCTGTGTGCAGGGGCTGGAGGGAGGGAGGGCAGGACCCGCAGATCAGGGGTGGGAAGGTACGTGGAGGCCCGCTGTGCTCCTCCCCTGCACCGCCCCAAGGGCTGGTCTCAATCTCCCCCCCCCCTCAATCCCCCCCGGCAGAGATTCAGGGACCCAGCTCCCACCCAGGCTAAGGTAAAGCTGGGGAGAGCACCATGGAAGTTTCCGGGTAGTGAGCTGGTCGCTGACTGAATGTTGACCCATCTGTCCCTAGGGGGTGTTAATCTCCCTCGCCCCCCCCCCCCAAACTGGTAGCCAGTGGCCCACACCAACTGGGGATACAGGCGAGAGCTTTTGATGCTGGCAGCTGGAACCAGTGGCCAGGCGATCAGAAAGGTGAGGCATCTTTTTATTTATTTACTTTTGTTACTATAAAGGTGATGTACGGAGGGGTTACAGTTACATAAGTCAGGTAAAGAGTGCACTTCTTTTTGGACTGTGTCATCCTTTCCCCTCGCTCTCCCAGCTTCCCCCTCCCATAAGTTGTATGGTTCATTCTCTACATAGTGTCCAGTAAGTACCATTGTTGTAGTTCTCCACCCTTTGTCCCTCCACGCCTGCCCCTTAAGGAGAGGCATCTTACATCTTCACCTCACCCTGAGAAGCACATGGGGAGAGTGCTTGCCTCTCCTGGATTCAGGCTTGGTTTCACCTATTCTGATTATGCAGCTGAGAAGAGGCTGCCACAAGACTCAAAGGCAGCTTAAAAGTTGTGGGCAGGGAAGGTGGCTCAGTGGTAGAGCACTTGCCTTGCATGCATGAGGCCCTGGGTTCGATTCTTCAGCACCACATAAGCAAAAAAAGCTGGAAGTGGTGCTGTGGCTCAAGTGGTAGAATGCTAGCCTTGAGCTGAAGAGCTAGGGACAGCGCCCAGGCCCAGAGTTCAGGCCCCACAACTGACAAAAAAAAAAAAAGTTGTGAGGAAAGCCAGGCACCTGTAATCTAAGCTAATCAGGGGGCTGAGATCTGAGGATCACAGTTCAAAGCTAGCTGGGGCAGAAAAGTCTATGAGACTCTTCAATCAACCCCAGAAAACCGGAAGTGGTACTGTGGCTCAAGTGGAGCCCAGGCCCAGAGTTCAAGCCCCACAACCAGCAACAACAACAAGAAAAAGTGGGGACTCTGTGGGTAAAATTGCTTTAGGAGGGGCTGGGAAGGTGGCTCAGTGGTAGAGTGCATGCATGAGGCCCTGGGTTTGATTCCTCAGCACCACATAAGCAGAAAAAGCCAGAAGTGGTGCTGTGGCCCAAGTGGTAGAGCGCTAGCCTTGAGCTGAAGAGCTGAGGGACAGCACCGAAGCCCAGAGTTTAGGCCCCATGACTGGCAAAAAAAAAAAAAAAAAAAAAAAAAAAAGTGCTTTAGGAGCATGTGCAAGGCTCCAGGTTCATCCCTGGGGACAGGACACTGAAGAAATGGGGGGGGGTGGTGTACTGGCACCTGTAATCCTAGCTACGCAGAAGGCTGAGATCTGAGGATTTGGGCTTAAAACCAGCCCATAGGAAAGTCTGTAAGATTTTTTTTTTTTTTTTTAATGGTCATGGCTTGAAATCTGGCCCTGGGCGCTGTCCCTCAGCTCTTCAGCTCAAGGCTAGCACTCTACCACTTGAGCCACAGTGCCACTTCCAGCTTTTTCTGCTTATGTGGTGCTGAGGAATAGAACCCAGAGCCTCAGGAATGTGAAGCAAGCACTCTACCATTGAGCTTCCTTCCCAGCCTCCGTGAGATTTCTTATGTCTAAGTAATTACCAAAAAGTTGAAAGTGGTGTGGTCAAGTGGTAGAGACTCAGCCTTGAACGAAAAAGCCAAGATCTGAGGTCCTGAGTTCAATCTCCAGTAACACACACACACACACACACACACACACACAGACAGACAGACACACACACACACAGAATAGAGAAAGGTGCTTCCTTTTCATCCTTTTTTTCTGTGTGTCAGTCCTGAACTCAGAGTGTGGACTCTGCCACTTAATGTTTTTTTCCTCAAGGATAGTACTTTACCACTTAAACTATACCTCTACTTCCAGCTTTTTGGTGGTTAATTTGAGATAAATGTGTTACTATCTTCCCTGCCCAGGCTAGCTTTGACCATGTTCCTTAGTTATTAGCTTCCTGATTAGCTAGGGTTACAGGTGGGAGCCACCAGTGCCTATCTATGCTCATTTGTGTGTGTGTGTGTGTGTGTGTGTGTGTGTGTGTGTGTGTGTGCGTGCATGTGTGCACGCGCACCAGTCTTGGGGCTTCAACTCAGGGCCTGGGCACTGTTTCTGAGCTTTTGTAATCAAATCTGGTATTCTACCACTTGAGCCACAGCTCCACTTCTGGCTTTTTGGTGTAGAGAAACCTCATAGCCTTTCCTGCCCAATCTGACTTTGAACCCTGATCCTCTGATCTCAGCTTCTTGAGTAGGTAGGATTGCAAACATGAGCCACCAGTGCCCGGTTCAGCCTTTTTATACTTTTTCTTTCCCCCCTGTTGGTTGTGGGGCCTGAACTCAGGGCCTGGGCACTGTCTCTGAGCTCTTTCACTCAAGGCTAGCACTCTACCACTTTAAGCCACAGCACCATCTGCTTTTCTGGTGATTAATTGGAGAAAAGAGTGTCACAGACTTTAAAGCCTGGCTGGCTTCGAATCATAATCCTCAGATCTCAGCCTCCTGAGTAACCTACCAGTGAATGGTCCTTCTCAGGTTTTTATCCTGAATAAAAGCTAGCAAAAAAAAATTTTTTTTCTCCCTCTCTACCCCTGCCCACCCTCAAGGCAGCACCAGGCTGGTGTTAAATTTGAACTGAATTGATTCCCTGACCTCAGCTGAGATTGAGTAGCTGGGACTATAGGTATGTGACACCATACCCTGCTTAGTTATTCTTGACCATAGCCTGGACAAATCAGTCTAGGGTAAACTTATTTATTATTTATTTTTGGTTCAGGCTCCTGAGCTTGTGTGCTGAATGAAGGCTGGCATTCTATCATTTGAGACACACCTCTACTTCTGTTCTTTTGTTTTTGTTTTTGGTGCTTAATTGCAGATGAGAGTTGTAGGGACTTTCCTGCCCAGGCTGGCTTCAATGATCCTCAGATCTCAGACTGCTGAGTAGCTGGGATTACAGGCATGAGACTGCTCTTTGGGAGTAATACTGAAGACTAGTTTAGAATGAAGGCCAGTGGTGACAAGGAGGCAGGGATGGTGCGCCTGTTTGTGGGAATCTCCTGAGTCTGGGAATACATTAGCAGCTGGCCGGACTTTGGAATGCATTAGCTATAATTAGCAGCACATGGATAGGCTAAAGGAGCAAGGAGCTAGGAGGTTTTTTTGGGGAGAGGGGGCTCAGACGGGTGTTAAGAAGATATTGGCTGGGCACTGGTGGCTCTCATCTATAATCCTAGCTACTCAGGGGGCTGAGATTTGAAGATTGAACCTCAAAGCCAGCCCTGTCAGGAAAGTCTGTGAGACTTTTATCTTCAATAAACAAATCAGATAAAGCTGGAAGTGGTACTGTGGCTCAAGTGGTAGAGTGCTAGCCTTGAGCACAAAGAGGCTCAGGGACAATGCCTAGGCCCAGAGTTCAAGCCCCAGGATAGGCAGGGGGGAAAAAAGATATTGAAGCCAGTAGCAAACTTCTCTTTATGCCAGGACTGGGAAGATCTTGGGTGGGAGGCCAGCCTCCATAGGAAAGTCCAGAGACTCGATCTCCAATTAACCAGCAAACAATACAAAACAACAACAACAAAACCCAAACAGGCTAGAAAGGTAGCCCAAGTAGAGTAGTAGAATGTCAGCTAAGTGCAAGGCCCTGAGTTCCAACCCCATTACTGCAGAAGAAAAAGTAGGAAGAGGAGAAGGAGGAGGGGGCGGGGGAGAAGAGGAAGGGGAAAATACTGGAAGCTGGACATCACAAAAACTCTCCCCAGTGCTGTTTCTTTCAGATTTGTATCACTGTTGATTTCTTTTGCCTCTTTTCACAGATATCCCCACAATAATCCCCAAGTATATGCAGGCTCATGGGGAGTGGAGGGGTGGGCGTCTTTAAATTTTCTCTTTTCTTTCCTTTCCTTATTAAAACAATCACATGGGCTGGGAAGGTGGCTCAGTGGTAGAGCGCTTGCCTTGCATGCATGAGGCCCTGGGTTCGATTCCTCTGTACCACATAAGCAGAAAAAAAAAGCCAGAAGTGGCGCTGTGGCTCAAGTGGTAGAGTGCTAGCCTTGAGCTGAAGAGCTGAGGGACAGCGCCCAGGCCCACGACCGGACCCCCCCCCCCCAAAAAAAAAAAACCAATCACATCCTTTGTCCCAAACATGTTCCTCTACCATGAAGGAGGAACTGGCAGGTGAGGAACTGGCAGGTTGCATTTCTGTGGTCTTTACATTGTGGTTTCATACCATGGTGGTTTCCCACAGCTGCTGCTGCTGCTGCTTCTTCTTCTTTTTTGTTGGTCATGGGGCCTGAACTCTGGGCCTGGGCGCTGTCCCTCTGCTCTTCAGCTCAAGGCTAGCGCCCTACCACTTGAACCACAGCGCCACTGCTGGTTTTTCTGCTTATGTGATGCTGAGGAATCGAACCCAGGGCCTCATGCATGCAAGGCAAGCCCTCTAGCACTGAGCCACCTTCCCAGACCCTCCCACAACTTCTTGTGGTCCAGAGGAGCGGTTCTAGATCCTATGGCATGGTTCAATTTTCTGCTGTACACATCAATTGAGGAAGTTCTGTGTCTGTCACCCTCTGCACGTGCGCGTGCACACACACACACACACACACACACGACCTGTCAATCACTGGGCGCACTAAGCCCAGGGCCTTTGCACCCGCTGCTCTCTGAGTTCCGGGCTCTCACAGGCCTTTCTTAGACGCCCCAGGCCCCAGCCCTGCCCTCATCAGCCCCCCCCATCTTCCCCCCCCCCCCCAGTTCGGATCACCCCAGAGTCCCCAGCGACCCGCATTCGTTGAACTGAATAAAACCCCGGAGGCCGAGAGGGAGAGGTGGGGACTGCGATCACCGGCTCCCCGGGGCCACCCCGATCTCGGTGTGTCTGTGTGTCTGTGTGTCAGTGTGTCTGTGTGTGTGTGATCCGCGCCCCGCCCCGCGCCCCGCCCCGCGCCCCGCCCCCGGCCGGCCGTCACTTCCTGCCAGGCCCCAGCAGGCCCAGCCGGGCGCGGCGTCGCGGCTGCCCGCGCCATGGTCGCCCTGGAGGACCCGGAGGGCGGCCCGGAGGCGGCGGCGGCGGCGGCGGCGGCGGGGGGCGGCCCGGGCGGCCCGCGGAGGCTGTGAGCGCGCGCGCGGGGGCGCGGGGGCCGCGCGGGGCGGGGGGCGGCGCGGGCTGGGCCTCCGCTCCCGCCGCGGGCCCGGGCCCGGGGTCTCCCTCCTCGCGCCCCTCCCTCTCCGCCGTGGGTTGGGGGCGCCGTCCTCCCGGGGGTTTGGGGGTGCCCTCGTGTCGCGGGCCCGGGGCGGGTGATCGCCTTCCTCCCTGCGTCTCCTCCGCCCTTCCCCGCCCCGGCTTCCCCTTCCCACTCGCTGGTGGCACCCCCAGAATTCAGGGGTCTTCCCGACCGCCCTGCCCGTGCTGGGCGCCTCGGGTCGGTTCCCGGGCCCCGGTGCCCCGCGCCCACCTCCCACCCCGCGTCGCGTCCCTCCTGGCAGATGGGACTCAGTTTCCCCTCTGGGGAAATTCCCAGATAAAATGGGGCGAAGAGGGGCCTGGGCGGGACCGGGGTGGGCGTGGTGGGGCGCAGGGCTGCGTGACCCGCTCTGCTCCACCGTGTTGCCGGGGCCGTGGGGGGGAATCCACTTGGGCTTGTCTAAGGGGCTGTGGGCCCTGGGAGGGTTGGGCTGCTTGTCCATGCCTCAGTTTCCCCCTCTGTTAAGTGGGTCGCACCCACGACGGCTTTTCTGAGTGGACAGTGACCTGGCTCTGTAAGGTGCGGAGTGAATGGGAGGGATTTTTGGTTGGTTGGTTGTGGGGCTTGAACTCAGGACCTGGCGGCTGTCCCTGAGCTCTTTCACTCAAGGCTAGCTAGCACCCTACCACTCTGAGCCACAGCTCCACTTCTGCTTTTCTGGTGGTTCGTTGGAGATAAAACATCTCATGGATTTTGCTGCCTGGCCTGACTTCGAATGTCCATCCTCAGATCTCAGCCTCCTGAGTAGCTAGGATTACAGGTGTGAGCCACGGAGCCCAGCTTTGTTTCTGTGTGTATGTGCTGGTGGTACTCAAGAGTTGAACTCAGGACCTGGGCCTGGTCCCTGAGCTCTTTCACTCAAAGCTAGTGCTCTACCACTTGAGTGACACTTCCACTTCTAGTTTTCCGGGATTACTTGGAGATAAAGAGTCTCACGGACTTTCCTGCCTGGGCTGGCTTTGAGCCTTGATCCTCAGATCTCAGCCTCCTGAGTAGCTAAGATTACAGGTGTGAGCCACTGGCCCTCAGTGGAGGGTTTTAAATTCAATGATTGCCTTTCATGATTTTCCCAAATGTTCTGCCCTTTTAGGGTTACTTTGAAATGGTTTTAGCACTCCATTTTTCTGTGGCCAGTGTGATTTTTATTATTATTGTTTTGGTAGTACACCTGTCAGGTCTTTTTTTTTTTTTGTCCGTCATGGGGCTTGAACTCAGCCTGGGCGCTGTCCCCCAGGTCTTCAACTCAAGGCAGGCGCTCTACCACTGAGCCACAGTGCCACTTCCGGTTTTCTGGTGGTTTATTGGAGATAAGAATCTCACAGACTTTTTCTGCCCGGACTGGCTTTGAACCTCGATCCTCAGATCTCAGCCTCCTGAGTAGCTAGGATGACAGGCTTGAGCCACCAGCGCCCAGCTCTGTCAGGTCTTTACCAGAAACCTAAGTGGCCTTTTCAGGCCAGACACTGATCAAGACAGAGGATGCCTGCCTTTTTCTTATTTACTTACTTTGTGGCGTTTTGACATAGTCTTTATGGGACCCTAGCTCTAGCCTTGAACTTGAGATCCTCCTGTGTCCACCTTGCCTCCTGTGTACTGGGATTACATGTGCTCTTCCAGGCCTGGCTCAGAGGATGCTCTAGGGCCTTTGACCATCCCCACTAGGCACTGACTGCCCCCCCACCCCATCCCGGAAGTGCTAAATCTGTAAAAATGTTGGTGAGGTTAGGGTTACACCCGCTAGGTTACTTCCTTGTGGCCCTCTCCTGGGTGTTTACCTGCCTTGCCCGTCTGCTACCCGCTGAGTCACCTCTAGCTCTTCAGCATGGGGAAGTGGGTTCTTCTGTCTGGAGGGGAAGAAGGTGGGGTTTTGCCAGGGACATGGCCAGCCCCCGGCCCCAAGCCTAAGCTCCCAGGAGCTTTTTTTTTTTTGTCAGTTGTGGGGCTTGAACTCAGGGCCTGGGTGTTGTCCCTGAGCTCTTTTTTTTTGCTCAAGGCTAGCACTCTACTACTTTGAGCCCCACTTGGGGTTTTTAGGTGGTTAATTGGAGATCAGAGTCTTATGGACTTTCCTGCCCGGGCTGGCTTCAAATCACGATCCTCAGTTCTCAGCCTCCTAAGTAGGTAGGATTATCGGTGTGAACCACTGGTGTCTGGCTTTCAAGGAGCACGCTGGGCATCTTTCTCCCCATTATCCTGCCTCCCTTCCGTGGGCATTGGTCACTTCTAAAGTGTAGGCAGTGTGTGTGTGTGTGTGTGTGTGTGTGTGTGTGCTGGCCCTGGAGCTAGGCATTTTGTGTGTGTGTGCGTGTGTGTGTGTGCTGGCCCTGGAGCTTGAACTCAGAGCCTAGGTGCTGTCCCTGAGCTTTTCCCACTCAAGGCTAGCACTCTACCGCTTGAGCTACTACTCCATTTTCGCTTTTTGGTGGCTACTTGGAGATGAGTCTCACAGACTTTCCTGTCCCAGCTGCCTTCAAACTTCAATCCTCAGATCTCAGCCTCCAAGTAACTGGTATTATAGGTGTGAGCCACAGGTGTAGGCATTTTCTGAGGCCTGGAGGATTTCAGGAATCATTGGTCTGTGGCCCTGTTTCACTGCTTTATAAATAGTGGATTCATTGGCTGGAGTAGTGTAAACAGGAGTTTAGTTATTCACTCAAGAAACCTATCATGACCCTCCCCCCCCCCCCCCCCCCCCCCACATACCCTGCTATGCCTTGTCTGCTGGGGAATCTCAAAGGGACACCAGCTGGACCCAGATTCCAACCACTGGCTTCTTCCCCAGGGTCTAGGAAACCAGCCAGCAATAGCAAGGAGTAAACAAGGAGAGGAAAGTCCAGCTGGCTCAGGTGCCAACTGGTTAAGCCTGAATAAGGCCAATTGGACCAGCTGGGGGGCGTGACCATGGTACCTGGGAGGTAGCATTTGGACATAAAGCAGCATTTAAGCTAGGAACAGTGCCAGGTTAGCATGTGCAAAGGCCCTGGGGTAGAGCTGACCTGGAGCTGTCCCCCAGCCAGTTAGTTTCAGCCATATGACACCAATTGGTCTCCTCCTCTTCTCTGCATCTCCCCTTTGTGCCCCACTTCCTGTCTGCAGAGAGGGAATCGGTGACTCTGAGTCCGAAGGCCAGATGTTTCTTTGACTAGAATCTGAAGGTTGAGTGGAGTCTAACAAGCTAGATTTGATCATGGGACTTGTACTCTCAGCTCTGGGGTGCTTGTGGCCCCCACTCCATTCCCCCCATGCTGGGGGAAGGGGTTCCAGGCCAGGGAGGAGCCTCCTCAGGCACTGGGGAGCCACAGAGGGTGCTGGAGCAGGGGCCTGGGGGTCAGGCTGAGGGAAGCAGAGCGGCTCAGACACGCGATCAGATTATTCTGGGGAGAGCCTTGTTTACTGGAGCCAGAGAATCCTCGAGGGGGGGATGTGGCTTTGCATTATCAGCCCTGCTCAGCTGCAGGGGTGGAGTGGGGAGAGGCTGGCTGTGGTTGCCTAGCTGTGTCCTCCAGCTGTGTGGTCTGGGCTGAGACTGTGTCTTTAGTGGTAGAGCGCTTGCCTCGCATGCATGAAGCCCTGGGTTTGATTCCTCAGCACCACATAAGCAGAAAAAGCCAGAGGTGGCGCTGTGGCTCGAGTGGTAGAGTGCCCAGGCCCTGAGTTCAAGCCCCAGGACTGGTAAAAAAACAACAACCACAACAACCCTCCCCCCCCACTAACATACACACATAGCTGTGGGGCCTGAGGATGGGGACCAGGGAGGTTGGGGTTGCAGTGCTGAAGTTTCATCCGTGTTAGCGTGAGGATGAGCTCTCTGTCATGGGAGAAGCAAGTGGGTGTTTGGCTATTTTGGCTCTTCATTGTTCTTTCCAGGCTCCCAGTCTCTTGTAAGTTTTACTCCCCACACACAGAGCAGAGTAAGGAACACTCTAGGCAGTATTAAAACCCAGGGCTGGAACTCTGGACGGTGGGTCCGTGGTCAGCTGGTTCTGTGAAGCTGTCCAGTGAAGGTCTGACTCAGGCTTCTCTGCATCTGTTCCTATTTTAAATTTATTTATTTTTTCTTGTGCATCGTGGGGCTTGAACTCAGGCCCTGGGTGCTGTCCCTGAGCGTTTTTTTTTTGGTCAGTCCTGGGGCTTAAACTCTGGGCCTGAGTGCTGTCCCTCAGCTCTTCAGCTCAAGGTGAATGCTCTACCATTTGAGCTACAGTGCCACTTCCGGTTTTCTGGTGGTTTATTGGAGATAAGAGTCTCACGGACTTTTCTGCCCGGGCTGGCTTTGAATCATGATCCTCAGATCTCAGCCTCCTAAGTAGCTAGGATCACAGGCCTGAGCCACCGCTGCCAGGCTGTCCCTGAGCTTTTTGCTTGAGGCTAGAGCTCTACCACTTGAGCCACAGCTCCACTTCTGGTTTTCTGGTGGTTCATTGGAGAGCAGAGTCTCATGGACTTTCCTGCCTTGGCTGGCTTTGAACCACAATCTTTAGATCTCAGCCTTCTGAGTAGCTAGGATTACAGGTGTGAGCCACTGGTGCCTTGCTTATGATGTTATGAACATACATCTATAATTTGTGTCTTCAAGTTTTTAGATGGCTGGGATGGTGGAATGTTCTATTGTGCTGGCTCCCCCATCTCTCCCCCTAGCTCTGGGTCTTGAACTCAGGGCTTGGATACTGTCCCTGAGCTTGTTTTGCTCAAGACTAGCACTCTACCACTTGAGCCACAGCACCACTGTATGTGGTACTGAGGAATCAAACCCAGGGCTTCATGCTTGCTAGGCAACCACTAAGCCACAGACCCAGCCTTCTTCTGCTGACTTTTTTAATTTTTAAGAAGATATTTATTTTATTGTAAAGGTGATGTACAGAGGGGTACAGTTACTTAAATAAGGAAATAAGTACAATTCTTGTTGAACATTGTTTCCCCCCGCCTTGTTTTCTCCCACTTATCCCACCCCCCCATTCCCTTCCTCCCTCTGCTGACTTTGAGTTAATGGTTTTTGGCAGTCTTGAGGTTTGAACCCAGGACCTTGTGCTTGCCAGGGAGGTGTTCTGCCACTTAAGCCAAACCTCTGGTCCTTTCTCTTTTGTTTTTTTTGTCAGTCATGGCAACTGAACTCTGGGCCTGGGCGCTGCCCCTCAGCTCTTCAAGCTCAAGGCTAGCGCTCTACCACTTGAGCCACAACACCACTTCTGGTTTTCTGAGTGGTTTATTGGAGATAAGAGTCTCACAGAATTTCATGCCCAGGCTGCCTTTGAACTGCAATCCTCCATCCCAGCCTCCTGAGCAGCTAGGACGTGACAGGCGAGATCCACCAGCGCCTGGCCACCTCTGCTCCTTCCTACTCTGGTTATTTTTTTTTTTTTTTCCGTCGGTTGTGGGGCTTGAACTCTGGGCCTGAGCGCTGTCCCTCAGCTCTTCAGCTCAAGGCGAGCGCTCTACCACTTGAGCCACAGCGCCACGTCCGGCTTTTTTCTTTTTGCTTATGTGGTGCTGAGGAATCAAACCCAAGGCCTCAGGCATGCAAGGCAAGCACTATACCACTGAGCCACCTTCCCAGCCCGCCTTTTGTATTTATTGAGATGGAGTCTCAAGGACTTTGTACTGGGACTGGCATTGAACCTCAGTCCTCACAACCTCAGCCTCCGGAGGAGTTATTATAGGAATGAGCCACTGTCCTAGCCCTGCAGTTATTATTTTTTAATCCACTGTGTCAGGTATGATGGCCCCACTGTGCAAAAGCCCTGGGTTGACTTTTAGCAGAGTGGCTTGTGGATGGAGCAGAGGGTGAAGTCAGAATGTGGGGGTGGAACATGGGGTACCTCAGACCCTGGAGTCTGCCATCTGCCCAGGAAGTGGGGCGTTTCTGAGCCCCAAGTCTGTAGCTTGAGGGTTGTGGGGGTCAGCCAAGCAGATCTTAGTGATTCTTCTCATCAGCCAAGTTTCCATGTAGCCTGGTGGGCTTGTGGCTCACCCCTGTAATCCCAGCTACCCAAAGGAGGCTGAGATCTGAAGATCACATTTCCAAGCCAGCTTTGGGCAGGAAAGTCCATGAGACTCTCTTATCTCCAATGAACCACCAGGACAGCCAGAAGTGGAGCTGTGGCTCAAGTGGCAGGGCGCTAGCCTTGAGCACAAAAGCTCTGAGCCCTGAGTTTCAACCTCAGGACCAGCACAGAAAAAAATAAACAAAGTTTCCATCCAAAAGCCCGCCCCCCCTCCTACATTTGCCTCTCTCCCCAGGCTGCTTTGGTCCTTAGGTGTGTGTGGGCGGGGGGAGGGGGGGGAGGGGAATTGGCAGCACCAGCTAATTCATCCCCACAATTATTAAATTTGCTCTAATGGAAGGGCAGATTAGCCTCCCAGGGGGGAGGAGCTCTGAGGAGCCGCTGGCTGCAGCCCCGCTCTGGCCTGGCTCCTGGGGTCTCTGCAGGGGAGGTTGGAGCTCCTGGCAGGTGGGCTCTGGAGCACCTGGGGGCTGTGTTCTACTTTACCTGGTGCCCAGGGTGGGAGAGCTGGATATAGCCAAATGGCTTGGTCCTCCCAAGAGAGGCTAGGCTTCAAGTCCTGGGGCCCATGGGCCTCCTGTTCTTGTCCACTGGCCTGCTTTAGGACGTTGGCTGTCTTCCCTTTGCCTAGCCTCAGTTTCTCAATCTGTTATCACAATTCTCCCTGCCTCCTGGGTGTCGGTTCTCACAGTTTTGGGGAAGCCAAGCGGGCAGTGAGGGACCCCCATCAAACTGACCTTGATTCTGAGGGTGGTCCCCCTCTGCCCACAGGCCTCTTCAGGGCTGCCTGCCCCCACTAGCCAGCTCCCAGGTGAAGAGACTTTCAGCCTCCAGGCGCAAGCAACATTTCATCAACCAGGCTGTGCGGAATTCAGACCTTGTGCCCAAAGCCAAGGGGCGGAAAAGCCTACAGCGCTTGGAGAACAGTAAGTCAGGGAGGGGAAGGGGGGGGGAGGGTGCTCCCTGCCCCCTCCCCCCTAGGAAAGTTTGTGTTACTGGTTGCCCAAAGATAAGCTGGCTGCCTAGCTCAAGGCATGCGAGCAGGAAATACCAAGCATTGACAATCCGTAGACTTACTGCATCAGGACTTGGCCAGAGAGTATTTGGGGCATGAGACCTAGGGTTTCAAAGGATGTATAGGAGTTCAACAAGGCTGGATTGATAGGGCCTAGAGGCTGGATGGGAAAGGAGAGGAGAAGAAGCTATGTAGACAGGAAGGAAGAATGGTCATGGGGACCCTGAAGGCCCCTCCTAGCCCGATGACATCTGTTTCCAGCTCAGTACCTCCTGACCTTGATGGAAGCAGATGGAGGTCCACCAGGTCTGGAGGACGGGGACCTGACCCTCCCTGCAGCCCCGGGCATCTTTGCGGAGGCCTGCAACAATGCCACCTATGTGGAGGTAAGGCCCAGGGCCCCTCACTGCCCCCCTTTTGGGCAGGGAACCCATGTGCTTACTTCCTGCCAGGCTGATGTTGGAATCTCTCTTCTGGAGCCCCTCCCAGCGGCGTCTAGATGACAGCCTCAGTCTCCCTCCCTGCCCCGACCCCGCAGACGCCCCAGGAAGTTCCCAGCCCCCCCCCTCCCACTCCCACACTGGAGTTAATGACCTCAGGAGCATTTGGCCCACACGACCGCAGCACCTGCGTGTATACTGGCCCTGCCTGCCGAGCTCGGGTCTGACGCGGGTTCGGCGCCCCGGGTTTCTAGTGGGGTCGGTGCGCACCAATGTCCACAGGAGACTTCCAACGACTTGGCTTACCATTGCCAAGTGGGGAAAACGAGGTCCTGAGATTCATGGCCCTCTGATCTCTGCCACTTTCAGGTCTGGAATGACTTCATGAACCGCTCAGGGGAGGAGCAGGAGCGCGTGCTCCGCTACCTGGAGAATGAGGGCCAGAGCAAGCCCAGGAGGAGGGGCCCGGGCCGCGGGGAGGACCGGCGTCGAGGTGAGGGCCGCCCGGGGGCGGGGCCGCGGCGGGCGGGGCCGCGGTGGGCGGGGCCGCGGCAGGAGGTGAGGCATACAGTCCTAATAGCTGGGTGGGCGGGGCCACTATAGGGGTGGGGCCAAGACAGGAGGCGGGGCCTGATGTGGGCTTGGTATAGTCACCGGTGGGTGGAGCCTGTGGTGGGTAGGGCCAGGCATTGGGCAAGGCATAGAGGAAGGCCTGGCCTGTGACCCTGACTCTGGGCTCCCACAGAGGACCCAGCATACACACCCCACGAGTGCTTCCAGCGCATCAGCCGCAGGCTGAGGTCCGTGCTGAAGCGGAGCCGCATCCCCATGGTAAGTGCCAGACCTTACGTGGCCTTTTTTTTTTTTTTTTTAAAAACCAGTAACCAGTCCTAGGGCTTGAACTCTGGTCCTAGGCGCTGTCCCTGAGCCTCTCTGTGCTCAAGGCTAATGCTCTACCACTTGAGCCACAGCCCTACTCTCAGCCTTTTCTGTGTATGTGGTGGTACTGAGGAATGGAACCCAGGGCTTCATGCATGCTAAGCAAGCTCTCTACCACTAAGCCACATTCCCAGCCTGGCATGGGCTTTCTTGATGACCCTTTTTCATGTCAGTTTCTCACTTGGAGACAAGGCAAAAGGAGGTTCCTCAGGGCAGGTGGTCATATGGTAAGCGACAGTGGCAAATGGATCAAGGTGATCAGATTGCAGGACTTTAGCTACAAAGCAAGAGTTGCCCTTTTGTGTAGGAAGGACAAGGAAGGTGGGCATTGCAGGGTGTATAGGAGTCCACTAGGCAGAAGGTATTGGCTTACAGATGTTAGGTACTGGTCTGGGAATGTGGCTTAGTGGTAGAGTGTTTGCCTTGCATGCATGAAGCCCTGGGTTCGATTCCTCAGTACCACGTAAACAGAAAAAGCTGAAAGTGGCTCTGTGGCTCAAGTGGTAGAGCAAAAGAAGCTTAGGGATAGTGCCCAGGCCCTGAGTTCAAGTCCCAGGCCTGGCCAAAAAAAAAAGAAAAGATGTCGGGTACTCATTTGCGATGTGTCAGTGGTAAGATTTGAACCTAGGGCTTTGAACTTGAGTCTGCCTCAGGTATTAGGGAGGCTAGGTAGTGGGCACCCGCAGTGGCTTGACCTGGTCTCTCTTTTCCCCAGGAAACACTGGAGAGCTGGGAGGAGCGGCTGTTGCGGTTCTTCTCTGTGTCCCCCCAGGCTGTGTACACGGCCATGCTGGACAATAGGTAGTGGGGTTCAGGGAGGGGCAGCACGTTCTTCCTCACCATGGCCGCTCTGGCTTGGCTGTTCATGGCTGTTCCTCCACAGCTTTGAGAGGCTCCTGCTCCACGCCGTCTGCCAGTACATGGACCTCATCTCAGCCAGTAAGTATGCCCCCCCTCAGCCCAGCTGACCCCCTCCAGCCCGGGTAGCAGAGACAAGGCTCTTCTAGGGTCTGTGTGTGTGTGTTTGTTTATTTTTCAGACTTCTGGGGAAAGGGTAGCAATGAGACTCTATAATTCATCCGAATCTCCCTATGTGGTTGGCCCCATGCTAGGAGGCCTCAAGGACACAGCGGGACAAGGGTACAGATATCCCTCAATCCATAGCTCCAGGGCTCTGTGAGGGAGACATCCCCCAGTGGAAAGACAAAGCCAAGGTGCGAAGCGCTCCCAAATCAGACGTGAGATGGTGGGCCTCAGTCTCTCAGGACGTTTAACATATAGATTCCATCCCCAGGACCACCAGAAGATCTCCCTCTGTAGCCTGTACACGTTTACAATGCAGTGTGCTCTCAGGACTCTCCTCTGATGAGCTCTGCCCGTGCTAGCACCAGGTGCCCCAGCTGGTCCTTGCTTCCCACACCTGTGTCTGCCTCCTGCCTGGAGTTGCCAAGGAGACAGTTGCCATGCAACCCAGGATGGTCCCTCCCTTGTTCTTTGTATGGAAGATGTAACCCCTACGCCTGTCTTTGTTCCCCAAGACTGAGAATGGAAGAGCTTGGTAGAGTGGGAGCTTCTCTACAGGGGTCAAGCTGTGGCCTGGACAAGAAAAGGGAGGGCCCTAGCAAGATGGGGAGGAGGGGAAGAAGGTTCCAGGCAGAGGAAACAGCGAAAACAATGGCCTGCGGTGGGATGAGGAAGGTGGGCCCAGGATTCTACCTAAGTTGGGAGAAGAGACCCAGAGACGGTTGGGAGGTAAGAAGGCCCAGGAGGAGGCTGGACATGTGGTCAGACTCCTAAGTCTACTGGGCCTTGGGACACATCTCAGTGTCCCTGTCTGTAGAGGGACAGGAGACAGCAGAGAAGGAAATGAGCCACCAATTGAGAACCAGGGAGTATGAATGGTTCTTGTGAATCGAACCTGGAATCTGGGCCAACCAGACCCAGAGTGCCAGCTGGCAGCCCAAATGAGGGTCCCCAGCATCTCTATATGCTGAGATTTTTCCATTCATCTATCTATCTATCCATCTATCTATCTATCTATCTATCTATCTATCTATCTATCTATCTATCTATCTATCTATCTTTTTTTTTTTTCTTTTGGTCCTGGGGCTTGAACTTGGCCTGGATGCTGTCCCTCAGGTCTTCAGCTCAAGGTGAGCGCTCTACCACTTGAGCCACAGCGCCACTTTTGGTTTTCTGGTAGTTAATTGGAGATGAGAGTCTCAGAGAAGACAGGCGCTGGTGGCTCACGCCTGTAATCCTAGCTACTCAGGAGGCTGAGATCTGAGGATCACAGTTCAAAGCCAGCCTGGGCAGGAAAGGCCGTGAGACTCTTGTCTCCAGTAAACCACTAGAAAACTGGAAGTGGCGCTGTGGCTCAAGCGGCAGAGCACTCGCCTTGAGCTGAAGAGCTGAGGGACAGCGCCCAATCCCAGAGTTCAAGCCTCATGACTGACAAAAAAAAAAGAGTCTCATGGACTTTCCTGCCCGGTCTGGCTTTGAACCATGATCTTCAGATCTCAGTCTCTCGAGTAGCTAGGATTACAGGTGTGAACCACCGGCACCCCGGTCCTTTATTTTATTTTGTGTGTGTGCCCATACTGAGGCTTGAACTCAGAGCCTGGGCACTATCCTTGAGCTTTTTCTTCTCAAGGCAGGTACTCTGCCACATGAGTCACTCTCCCCGTTAGGCTTTTTGGTGGTTTATTGGAGATAAGAGTTTCAGGTCAGCTGGACTCCCGCAGGAGAATGTGAGGATCATGATTCAAAGCATGGGCAGGAAAGTCCTTGTGAGACTTTTATCTCTAATTAACCACCAGAAAAGCTGGAAAGGCTCAAAGTGGTAGAGTACTGGCCTTGAGCAAACAGAGCTCAGGGACAGTGCCTGGGCCCTGAGTTCAAGCCCTGAATTGACAAGAAAAAAAAGTCTCAAGACCAGACTTTGCTGCCCTGGCTGGCTTTGATCTTTGATCTTCAGGTCTCAGCCTCCTAAATAGCTAGGATTACAGGTGTGAACCATCAGCTCCTGGCTTTTTCTTTCTTTCTAAATTCCGGCTGTGCTGACCACAGGTGCTGACCTGGAGGGCCGGCGACAGATGAAGGTCAGCAACCGGCATCTGGACTTCCTGCCACCAGGGCTGCTCTTGTCTGCCTACCTGGAGCAGCAATGATGACAGCTCCCCGGTGCCCTGTCTGCTGCTGCGCAGGGCCCCCAACATCTCCCACCATCTGCTCCCATCTTTGATCTTTTTAAAATTTGTCCTTGGCAACCTGTTCTTCCCCTGGGTGGGTCCTTACCCTGGTCCCCTCCGTGCCCAGCTCTCACAGATCAATCCTGGCAGCTGGGACTGCCTAGACTGTCCTTGTATATAGCTTCCCACTACGGGACTTGTATCTGGGTGGGGAGACCTGACCTGGGCATGTTTCTTTATTCATTGTTTAGCTTTTTTTTGGGGGGGGGTGTAGCTCAGGTGAGGAGGGAAAAGTCTAGGGGGTTTTAATCGCTTTTAACGTATTCGGCATGATTTGTTGTAGATTTTTAAATTTCCCCTTTGAAGAGGAAAAAAAACCAAAACCCCACAAACAACCCCAAAACTTGCCCTGGCTGGTAAAGCATGGGGCTTCATGACAGCTTTTGCTTGATCCCTCCCAATTTTTACCTCCTTTGGGACTCAACCCCTTGTCCCAAGAGCATTTTGTCTTGTGCATGTATGTGTATGTGTATGTGTGTGTGTGTGTGTGTGTGTGTGTGTGTGTGTGTGTATGCGTGCACGCACATGCGTGGGTCCTCTACGCAGGACAAGCTTCATCTCAAGGGCTGGTTTTATGCTTTTAGTTATGGTGTCTTGTGGTCCCCCCTCCCCCAGCCTGCTCTCCACTTGACCCTCTTCTCTCCCCTCTCCCCCTTCTATTCCCTCCCTTTATACTGAGGATCCAGGACTTCCAGCCAGAAGCCTCTGACCTCTGTTACCCCATCCCTTGTGCCCCCAGCCTGGCTCTGATTGCCCTGCCAGGAGCCACGGGGCGGGGAGGGGGGTCCTGTATGGAGAACAGGCCTGCTTGGTGTGCTTGGGGGATGGGAAGTGTTTTAATAAATTCCTGGTGCTCTGGCAGATTGGCTTGTCTTTGTGTTGGCTAGGGAGACTGGGGACCAGGCTTTGCCGTGATGGCCACATCCTGGATAAAGCAGGTGTTCATCCAGATGTGCTAAGCTTCGAAGCTCTACCACCTGGGTTGTCCTCAGTAAAGATCAGATGGCAGCATGTAACCTTAGACTTTCTTGTGTGGTCATCCTGGGGCGGGAGCACAGGACTGCCCAGGGCTACAGGGCTTTGTTTGCTGCCTGGCTGAGATCCAGGTCTTCCTCCTTCCCTCCCTCCCAGGCTCTAGAGAGCTCATTCCTGCCTCCGCATCCCTGGGCCTGTGGCCACACCAGCCTCTGCCTCCACCCTCCACGTTGTTTTCCCTCTGGGTTTTCCTGGATCCAAATACTCCCCTATTGAAATAGACAACTAGTCCTGTTGTATCCGGGTCATCCTAACCACCTCATGGTTACTTGCAGTTTCTCTAGAGACCCTATCTCCTAATGGGGCCTCACCGAGGTACGAGGGTAGGCCTTCAGTTTTTCATGGAGGTGGGGTGGATGTGGGGGACAATTCTGACCATAATACCACCTAACCTCTGGCTTAGTTCCCAGTATGAGGAATGAGATCATCCAGTGGATTGTAGTCTGAGGCTTAGACTAGCCCCGATAAAAACCTGAGACTAGGGGCTGGGAAGGTGGCTCAGTGGTAGAGCGCTTGCCTTGCAAGCCTGAGGCCCTGGGTTCGATTCCTCAGCACCATATAAGCACAAAGAAAAAAGCCGGAAGTGGTGCTGTGGCTCAAGTGGTAGAGTGCTAGCCTTGAGCTGAAGAGCAGAGGGACAGCACCCAGTCCCAGAGTTCAGGCCCCATAACCGGACCCAAAAAAAAACAAACCTGAGACTATCTGAAAAATCAGCCTAAAAGCAAAAGAGGGCTGAGGTGTGACTCAAGTGGCAGAATTTCTGCCCAGCAAGTGTGTGAGGCTTTATTAGTGTATATGTGTATGTTGTTTTAATGGGGCTTAAACTTAGAACCCTGCACTCTTGCTTGGCTTTTTTCACTTAAGGCTGGTATTCTACCATTTGTACCACACATTCACTTTGGCCTTGTTGGTTGGTTAATTGAAGATAAGAGTCTCATGGACTTTCCTGCCTGGCTGGCTTCAAACCAAGATCCTGGGATCCCAGCCGCCTTTTGATCATTGTTTTGAAGTGAACTTAATGTCTGGGTTATGATCATTGCCCAGTTTTTGATGCTGTTGAAGTTTTGGGGAAGAGATTTGCCTGTGCAATCGCCAGTGTCAGGGTCTACCTCCTGCTTCTCTAAGGATGGGATTTGGGTAGTGAGAATACAGGTCTCACCTGATCGAAGCCAGATGCTACAACACTGCTGTCACCCTGCCAGGCCTCAACAGTAGCACGGGGAACTGGGCCCCACTCCCGTCCATACACTGTGGGATGTTGGTACTATATCACATATACCACATGTATCACTATGATTCTGGGATAATTGCTTTCTTCTTTGGCTCATTATGTAGTTGACGGGCTCCTGTGTCTTTTGGAGGCAGCCCACCATTAAGGGGTTTAGCTTTTGAGCACAGAGAAGCTTTAGGCTGTGAGTCCTATAATTGGTCATTTCTATTTTTTTCTTTCATAGGGACCTCATGTTAGAAACCAAGTTCTGAGCTCAATACTTTGCCCCTCCTGTATGTCCTATTTTTTTTTTTTTTTTGTCATGGGGGCCTGAACTCTGGGCCCAGGTGGTGTCCCTCAGCTCTGAGCCACAGTGCCACCTCCACAGTGCCACCTCCAGCTTCTTCTGCTTATGTGGTGTTGAGGAATCAAACCCAGGTCCTCACGTATGCCCAGGGCCTCATGCATGCAAATCAAGTACTCTACCACTGAACCACCTTCCCAGCCCTGTCCTATTCATTTTTTAGCTCTTCAGCTCAAGGCTATTACTCTACCACTTGAGCCATAGCGCCACTTCTGGTTTTTTCTGCTTATGTGGTGCTGAGGAATGGAACCCAGGGCCTCATGCATGTGAGGCAAGCACTCTACCACTGAGCCACCTGCCCAGCCCTCCCTTCCTCCCTTCCTTCCTCTCTTTCTCCTTTTCTTTCTTCCTTCCTTCCTTCCTTCCTCTCCTTCCTTCCTTCTTCCTTCCTTCCTTCTTTCTTTCTCTCCTTCCTTCTTTTCTTTCTCTCCTTCCTCCTTCCTTCCTTCCTTCCTTCTTTCCTTCTTTCTTTCTTGTCATGGGGCTTGAGCTCTGGGCTTGGGCGCTGTCCCTGCACTCTTCAGCTCAAGGTGAGCGCACTGCCACAGGAGCCACAGAGCCACTTCCAGTTTTCTAGTGGTTTATGAGTCTCACAGCCTTTCCTGCCGGGCCTGTCTTTGAACTGTGATTCTCAGATCTCAGCCTTCTGAGTAGCTAGGATTATAGGCATGAGCCACTGATGCTCAGCTAATTTTTAAAATTTCTTTTTGTGCTGGTCCCAAGGCTTGAACTCAGGGCCTGGGCACTGTCCTGAGCTTCTTTTGCTCAAAGTGAGTGCTCTATCACTTGAGCCACAGCTGCACTTTTGGCTTGTTTTTTTTTTTTTGTCCCTTAGTCTTTAGATCTCAGCCTCCTGACTAGCTAGGATTATGATTATAGTGCTGAGGTTTGAAGCCAGCCTGAGCAGGAAAGTCTGTAAGACTCTTTCTTTCTAATTAAGCAGCAAGAAGTTAGAAGGGGAGCTGTGGCTCAAGCTAAGGGACAGTGCCCAGGACCTGAGTTCAAGTTCCATTTCATTACCGGCACCAAAAAATAAAAAAATTGAAAGAGATTATGAAGTAATGTAAGTCCCTACAGCCAGGGAGTGTTGGATGTAAAGATAGGCCCCACAGCCACCAGCCCGCCCATCTCCATCTGACTCCCAGAACTTCTCAGTCCTAGGCCTTTAGGTAGTACTTTTCTCAGGCGGAGTCACCAGCTGGGCAGGGACCCAAGCTGAGCAAAGTCCTGCAAAAACTCTGTGTGTTCAGGCAGAAAGAATTCCAGAGACGTTTAAAGCTGGAAAGATCCTCAATTAAAAAAAAAAGAAAAGAAAAGAAAAGAAAAAAAATCACCTTGGGGCCAGGTGTCAATGGTTTACACCTGTAAAGGAAATGTAAATTAAAAAAAAAACTCACCCAAGCTTGAGCTGACTCACCTGAGAATAAACAGAAAAAAGAAAAGAAAAGAAAAGCAATATGTGGCTATGTCTGTACGACGATCTGGGTATAGGGTTTTGGAGCAAGAGCTTGAATCCAGAGTGTTGTATTTGTGTTTTCCTGAATCTTGAAGTTAGGAAAGGAAAAATAGGCAGAACTTGCCACACTTGCGCAGCAAACCTGCTACCCTTCACTATTTCAGTCTTCGTACATACACTACTACAGTGACATCCCAGGCCGCGCGCTGCTTATAGCATAGTACTCTATATAGTACTCTAATGGCAGTTCTTTTCACTAAGGGTGAAGCTAGTGAAGCTAGTTTCCACTTGTTCTATCAGATTACCTATTCTTTTAATGATAGTAGTGTCACACACCATGAAAGCAAATGCAGTTCCTGACCAGAGTTGACAAATGCCCATTTTTGTTTTATTTTAAAAATCAATTCTAGTTCCAGAGGATGCTGGGACTAATATATAGCTACATATGCAAATATCCCCCAATGGGGCGGAGCCAGAGCCGACTGCTATCCCAGAAATCAAAGCGAAGGGCCGACGTAACCCCGGGAAACTTGTTGAATGTGAAAAGATGGCGGCGCCGGAGGCGGGGCGCTACGGTGAATGTGGACCGCGGCCTCCTGCGAGGCTGGGCGCTCGGATCAGCCAGGTGCGTGAGGGGCTGCAGGAATCCCGGAAGGGATCGGACGGCGCCCGGACGGCGCCCGCGGCCGCTCGGAGCGTCGCTGGGGGGGTGGAGGGCTTGTGGGCGGGGCCTGTGGAGTCAGAGGGCGGGACTGGGAGCAAAGGGTGCTGGGAACGCGGCGCGGAGAGCGCGAGGGGTGGGGCCTGGGTCGGGAACTCCGGGTGCATCCGGCTGCTGGCGGGGGTCCGGTGAGTCCGGGGCGGGGCCTGCGGCTCGTGGTCGGCCTAGGCGGGGCCTACCAGAACCAAGGGCGCGGGGGGCGGAGTCTCTGGGCTGGGGCGGCGTCTGGTTTGTCCGGCTCTGAGCATCCTCCCGCAGGACCCTGTCCTCATGCTGTCTCCATCCTTGACCCCCCTGGATCGCCATGGTCACCCTCTACCTATCCCTCAGTCAGCACAGATTGTGGGAACCTAAATAAGTCACGGCGCCTCAGGTTTTTTTTTTTTTTACTCCACAAGGGATGAGACCCCCATGAGGCCCAGAGCAGCCCCCCCATTTCCTGCCCCACTCTCCAGCCTCTGGGCCTTTCCACTGGCTGTTTCCTCCACTGGAAGTCACGTTGGCCCCCTCTGTGTTAAAACTGCATCCCCGAGTCGGGAGCCGGTGGCTCACGCCTGTCATCCTAGCTACCCAGGAGGCTGAGATCTGAGGATCGCCGTTCCAAGCGGGCAGGAAAGTTCGTGAGACTCTTTATGTCCAATAAACCACTCAGAAAACCGGAAGTAGCACTGAGGCTCCCGTGGTAGAGTGCTCGCCTTGAGCTGAAGAGCTGAGGGACAGTGCCCAGGCTCAGAGTTCAAGCCCCATGACCGACAAATTAAAAGCAAAAAACAAACAAAAAAAAAACCCCCAAAACTGCAGCCCCACTTGGTGCTGTGGCTCACACTGTAATCCTAGCTATTCAGGAGGCTGAGAACAGAGACTCGAAGTTCAAAGCCAGCTTAAGCAGGAAAATCCAATTAACAATCAAAAAAGCCAGAAGTGGAGCTGTGGCCCAAGTGGCAAGTGGGAGAACACTAGTTTTTTGGTTTTTTTTGTCGGTCGTGGTACTTGAACGTGCGCCCTTCTGCTCAAGGCAAGCGCTCTACCACTTGAGCCACAGTGCCACTTTTGGTTTTCTAGTGGTTTATTACGGACTTTCCTTCCCAGGCTGACTTTGAATGGTGAACTTCAGATCTCAGCCTCCTGAGTAGCTAGGTGTGAGCCACTGGTGCCCGACGTAACACTAGCCTTAAACAAAAAAAAGTTCTGGGAGCTGAGCACTTAGTGGTTCACACCTGCGATCTTAGCTACTAAGGAGGGTGAGATCTGAGGATTGCTGTTTGAAGCCAGCTGGGGCAGGAAAGTTCTAGAGACTGGTATCTCCAATAAACTACCAAAAATTGATCTGTGGCTCAAGTGGTAGTGTGCTAGCCTTGATCAAAAGAAGCTCAGGGACAGTGACTAAACCTTGAGTTCAAGCCCTAGGAGCAGAAAAAAAACCAACAACCCAAAAACCCTGTAGCTCCAGTCTCTGTACTTGCTTGACAGCCCAGCTACTTGGGAGGCAAAGAAAATGGATCTCTTGATTATAGGAGTTTGGGGGCAACTTGGGCAACATAGTGAGACCTTTTTTCCAAAAGATATCCTTACAACCCAAGCATGGTGACCAGAGCAAAAAACTAAGGGACAGTGCCCAGGCCTCGAGTTCAAGCCTTGACTGGCAACAACCTTTAAAAAACAACAACAACAACAAAGGACTGGGGCATGGTAATGTAGTGGGATGCTTTTCTAACAAGTGTAAGGCTCTGAGTTCAAAAGCTCAGAGCTGCAGTTCTCCCCTTCAGGCTGGTGCTAATGGGGTGGGGAGGATGGCTTTCCTGTCCCTGAGCCACACCCTCCTCCCAACAGGATCCAGGGACTGTGCTTGGTGCTGTGGGCATGATGGATCTGGCCTACGTCTGCGAATGGGAGAAATGGCCCAAGAGTACCTACTGCCCATCTGTGCCCCTGGCCTGCGCCTGGTCCTGCCGCAACCTCATTGCCTTCACCACAGACCTCCGCAACGATGACCAGGGTATGTCCCCTGCTCCTCAGCTACTGGACTCACCACCCAGCCTGGGTCTAGGTCTGGGGAAGTGGCCTATACTGCCTGCCCCACCTCCAGGGTACAGAGGGCCAATGCACTCCCTTGCTAGATACATGGCACTTGGGAGAATAGCTCTATGCAGGTGGATAGGGCTGCCGTGGGAGGTCAAGCAAAGGCTGGAACACCTGTGCCCCAGTTTCCAGAGCAAAAGAGTCCTGGTGGCTTTTCCCAAAAGCCCTTGAGGTGTATGGTGGCTGTGCCCAGCTTGCTATTGTCCTGCTAATGTGCACTCATTACCGAGAATTGGAGAAGCACAGAAAATCAGGGCAATGAAGAGCTATGACCCAGTGTGGAGAGACACCCACTCTGCTTGTCAGGATCATTCTCTTCTAGTCCAGCTTCTATGTCTCTTTCTCTCCCGTGTGTGTGTGTGTGTGTGTGTGCACGTGCATGCATGTGCACATGTGTGTGTACACGTGTGTACCAGTACTGGAATGGTGCTGGAGTGTGAACTCAGGACCAGAGTATCATCTTTTAGTTTTTCACTCTTTTTCACTGCTTGAACCACAGCTCCACTTCCAGCTCTTTGCTGGTTACTTGGCGATTAGAGTCTCACAGACTTTCCTGCCTGGGCTGGCTACTGAACCTCAGTCCTCAGATCTCAGCCTCCTGAATAGCAAGGATTACAGGTGTGAGCCACTAGCGCCCGGCTTCTGTCAGTTTTTAAACCGTGGTTGCAGCCACCCTGGTGGCACAGCTCCCATGCTTGCCGCGGCCTGGGACCTCCCTGGATCCTCTGTTGAGGTCCTTGTGGCCCCTGTGGCTCTGTCACTGTGAGGAGGCTGTGTGCCAGCCCCGGCTGACCCTGCCTGTCCCCTGCAGACCTAGCCCGCATGATCCACATCCTGGACACAGAGCACCCGTGGGACGTGCACTCCATCAGCTCGGAGCACAGCGAGGTCATTACCTGCCTTGAGTGGGACCAGTCAGGTGAGGGGCCAGGGTCTCCCTCACCCAGTGCCCTTGACTCCAAATCCCAGAACAGACCGCACTGCCTTTCCCTGTCCGTCCAGAGCTGGGACTGGCACCTTGGCCTGTGAGCATGGTCACTGTGTGTCCCAGCTGCCACGTGACACTGCTGTGTTCACCGTTCCTCAGTGTGTTTCATGCCCTCCACCCCCCAATGCTCCAGTCATGACCGCTCCCCAGGACTGGCCCTTCCCAGACTTTTCACATTCTGTGAACAGATACCCCCACTCTGTCCCCACAGGCTCCCGCCTCCTGTCAGCTGATGCTGATGGGCAGATCAAGTGCTGGAGCATGGCGGACCACCTGGCCAATAGCTGGGAGAGCTCAGTAGGAAGCCTCGTGGAGGGAGACCCCATCGTGGCCCTGTCCTGGCTGCACAATGGTGTGAAGCTGGCCCTGCATGTGGAAAAGGTGAGTGTCCCGCCTGAGTGAGTGGGTGAGGTGGGCAGGATGCTGACCCCACATAGCCCCCTGGCAGTCTGTGTGTGCATGTAGGTGAAAACTTACTATGTAGGGCTGTTTGATGCACGAGGCTGTCATGGTTCTAGCCTTACATTGATGATACTCTTGGTCATAGAGCCATCTCTGCTGTTCTAGCATCTGGGCTGGGCTGTGGCACGCACCAATTTGTCCATTCAGAGGCAGGATGGTGGGCTCTCCTGGGTGGGTAGCATTGGGGTGTCTAATTTATGGCCCAGCTCTTGGTCCAGAGGTAGCAGGGGTAAGATGGTGAACTGGTGCATGGCATAGACAGGCAAATGCAGAGGGACAAGAGCCTGGGTGGGCGGGCAGGCAGGAGAATGGGTACGTGTGAGTGCCAAGAGCACCTGGGCACACGGGCTCTCAGAAGCTCAGCCACCCTGGTTCTGCTCAGGGACAACAAGTACAAAGGTGTGTCCTGCACTTCTCTGGCCTTGTATGCTCATGCCTCAAGTGGGCATGAGGCAAGGATTCCCAGATTGAGCCAGGTGTCAATACCTCATGCCTGTAATCCCAGCTACAGGAGGCTGAGATCTGAAGATTGTGGCTCGAAGCCAGCCTGGCTAGAAAAGTTCTTGAGACTCTTATCTCCAACAAACCAGCAAAAAGCTGGAATTGGAGCTGTGGCTCCAGTGGTAGAGTGTCAACATTGGAAAAAGCTAAGGGAGACTTGAGTTTAAGCTGTAGGAGTCCAAGTCCTAGTACCAGGGGTGTGTGTGTGTGTGTGTGTGTGTGTGTGTGTGTGTGTGTGTGTGTGTGTGTGTGTGTGTGTGTGTGTGTGTAAGACTGTGTATTGTACATTCATGTAAACTGCCAGAAAACAACACGAGGCTAGGAGCTCCCATCATGGCTCAACTGCCAGGGAGGGGCAGGTGAGGACATGAGGGTCTCAGGCTGGGGTAGGTGGCTCTGTAGAGATGAGTCCAGTTTCCACAATAGCATATTTAGAAAACTGAGACCCTAAAAAAAAGGTGGCTTTTAGCTGAGTACTGATGACCCATGTTGGAACGGTGGCTCCAGTGGTAGAGAGCCAGTCTTGAGCAGTGCTCAGGCCCTGAGTTCAAGCCCCAGATCTGGCACCAAAAACAAACAAACAGACAAAAACCCCAGAAGAGTAAGAAGAGTAAGTAGGGCTGTATCTGGTGCTTCCCAGTACCTCCAGGAGTCTGCAAAGTCCCCAGTCCTGACCTGTTCTTGCAAATGACATTTTAGTACCTACAGCTAGGCCTACCTATGTACCTACTGTATGTTGCCTGTCTCCTCCTGGCCACTGAGGCAGAGGCACAGGTTTCGCACCAGGGAACTGGAAACTACCAAGGTCCAGGAAAAGTTCTTAGTCTGATGTATGTATGCAGATCCATTCAATCCCTGCCATGGGTGGTGTAAATGTCACTGTTCCCATCTTCCAAAAGAGGAGACTGTGGGTCAGAGAGGCCCCCATCCCAGTTCTCCTGGGGTTCACATGTCCCCCGATCTCTGCTTCACACTTGCTGTCCCAGCCCCCTCATTCCTGCCTGACGTTTTGTGCGGGTACAGCCCTGGGTGCTGGAAGCACACCCTGAAAGTGTTCCCTTGTTCCCCTCTCTATGCAGTCAGGTGCCTCCAGCTTTGGGGAGAAGTTCTCCCGGGTCAAGTTCTCGCCGTCACTCACACTGTTTGGTGGCAAGCCCATGGAGGGCTGGATTGCGGTCACTGTCAGTGGCCTGGTCACCGTGTCCCTGCTCAAGCCCAGCGGGCAGGTACTCACGTCCACCGAGAGCCTGTGTAGGCTGCGAGGCCGCGTGGCCCTGGCCGACATCGCCTTCACAGGTGGCGGCAACATCGTGGTGGCCACCGCGGACGGCAGCAGCACGTCGCCCGTGCAGTTCTACAAAGTGTGCGTGAGCGTGGTGAGCGAGAAGTGCCGCATCGACACGGAGATCCTGCCCTCGCTCTTCATGCGCTGCACCACCGACGTCAACCGCAAGGACAAGTTCCCTGCCATCACCCACCTCAAGTTCCTGGCCCGTGACATGTCGGAGCAGGTGAGCCACGGAAGCCGGTGCAGGCCTGACACTCTGCTTCTGGGATCCACAGGCCCCTGGACTTCCCTGGGATCTCCTCCCGCTTGTCTCAGCCCCCGTAGGCTCCCCGTCCTCCCAGGAGCAATGCCACATCTCACAGTCTCTCCACCTCCACCACCTGCCTCCTTCCTAAGACTTGCCAGGATGATCCCAGTTCAGGATCCTTAGTTGGATTGCATCCTTTTTTTTTTTTTTTCTTTTGGTTGGTTGGTTGTGGGGCTTGAACTCTGGGCCTGGGTGCTGTCCCTCAGCTCTTCAGCTCAAGGCTAGTCCTCTACCACTTGAGCCACAGCGCCACTTCTGGCTATTTCTGTGTATATGGTACTGAGGGATCAAACCCTGGGCTTCATGCATGCTAGGCAAGCACTCTACCACTGAGCTACCTTCCCAGCCCCAATTGCATCCTTTAAAAAAAAATTAATTATTATTGTTTTGTGCCAGTACTAGGACTTGAAGTCAGGGCCTGGCTTCTATGCTTTAACTTTTCTTTATTCAAGGCTGGAACTCTACTACTTGAGCTATACCTTCATTTTTTGCTTTTTGGTGGTTTACTAGAGATAAGGGTCTCATAGACTTTTCCTAGCCAGCCTGGCTTTGAACTGTGATCTTCAGATCTCAGCCTTCTGAGTAGCTAGGATGATAGGTGTGAGCCGCGAGCACCTGGCTTGATTGCATCTTTAAGGTCTGCTCTGCGGTGTGAAGTGACATAGCCACAGGTCTTGGGATCCGGACAGGCCTGTCTTTGGGGCTGATACTCACTACCCGCCAGTGAACTCTCCTGAGATCCGATTGTTCTCATGAATCAGCTCAAAGTTCCTGCCATGGGCTGGGAATGTGGCCCAGTGGTAGAGTGCTTGCCTAGCATGCCTGAAGCCCTGGGTTCCATTCCTTAGTACCACATACACAGAAAAAGCCAGAAGTGAGTGGCACTGTGGCTCAAGTACTAGCCTTGAGTGCTAATCTTGAACAAAAGCTCAGGGACAGTGTTTAAATCCTGATTTCAAGCCCCAGGACTGGCAAACAAAGACAACAAAAACCAGGAAAGGTGAAAGCATGGCTCAGGTGTTAGAGCTCCTTGAGCAAGCAGAGCCCACGCCCTGAGTTCAAGTCCCAGTACTGGCACAAAACACAAAACTAACAGAAAAACCTGAAAAAAATACTGGCTGGGAAGGTAGCTCAGTGGTAGAGCGCTCGCCTCGCATGCATGAGGCCCTGGGTTCGATTCCTCAGCACCACATAAGCAGAAAAAGCTGGAAGTGGCATTGTGGCTCAAGTGGTAGAGTGTTGGCCTTGAGCTGAAGAGCTGAGGGACAGTGCCCAGGTCCAGAGTTCAAGCCCCACAACAGACCAGAAAAAACCCCAAAAACAAAACAGGAAGGTCCTGTCATATTTCCTCTCCATGCCCCCCACCAGGCAGAGACCCACGCTGACGTCCACTGTCCCATGCAGCCTTTATCACTGGACCTGGGTGGGCTGGTGCAGAGCAGGCTGGACTCCATGGCGGCCCTGTGCTGGGTGGGGGGTGGGGAGGGCGGGGAGGGACCTGCATGGCACATGCAGGGCTGAGCTATTGTGAGAACCCAGGGCTCAGGACCGATGGGGATGGCCTGGGCCTGGTCTTCACTGCGCCGCCCTCCAGGTGCTCCTATGTGCGTCCAGCCAGACAAGCAGCCTGGTAGAGTGCTGGTCCCTGCGGAAGGAGGGGCTCCCCGTGAACAACATCTTCCAGCAGATCTCTCCTGTGGGTAAGGGTCTGGGGGCAAGAGTGTCCCTTGGGTGAGTTGTTTCTTATGAGTGGATGAGTTTCTATGGGTGGGTGGGTGTCTCCCTTGGAGCCACAGGGGCCCCTACCTTCCTTCAGGGGGGGGTTGGTTGTGGGGATGAACACAGGGCCTTGGGAATGTTAGGTAAATGTCCTGCCACTAGCTGCCCCCTGCCCTGGGTGCTGACTTTGGTATGCATCTCTCTCTCTTTTTTTTGTCAGTTGTAGGGCTTGAACTCAGGGCCTGAGCACTGTCCCTGAGCTCTTTTGCTCAAGGCCAGCGCTCTACCACTTGAGCCACATCGCCACTTGGTATGCATCTGAACTGTTCCTCCTCTTTAAGTTCTGAGGAGACTTGCCATCCTGTCCTACCTCAGGAAACGCACACTGCTTACCCCAATCACCCAGCCAGCTGACAGCAAGGAGCTAGCCGAATGGTTGGTGCAAAGGTCCTGGGGCAGGAGAGCAGTGGGCAGAAGCAGGGCAAGTGGGTGGCAGGGAAGATCAGAGCTCCCAGTACTTTTTCCTAAAAGTCATGGCACCTTGAAACCATGGTTGGAGAGGAAGCTGAGGCCCAGAATGATTCACTGGCTTTTGCCATCCCCAATCTCTCCTTTAGCCCTTCCTCTGATCAACCCCCTCAGGACCCCCAGAGCTGACACCCTCCCTGGCACACATCCTGGGAGAGCCTTTGGCTTGCCGGCCAGCTGGGGCTGCGGCTAGCTCCTGCCGGCCAGCCGGCAGCCTGCTGAGATGTTTTGCAGCAGATGAAAGCCAGCCTGGCCTTCGGCTGATTAACGCTAATGGGCGCTTGAGTGGCCGGGTATTGAGGAGCAGGAATCGGAAGCCACTAATGAAGCTGTGTCAAGAGGCCCCTCATGACTCTGCGGCCTGTGCTGCACTGCGGGGGTGGGGGGTGGGGGGTGGGGGGTTACGTAAATGGCCCATTGTGGCTGCCAGAGTGATTCAGTGCCTAGCTGGTCCCGGCCGGCCGCCCTCCCACAGCGCATTGTGAGTCACCAGGCCTAGCTCACTGACGCCACCTGCCTCAGGGCCACCAAACCTCGCCCCCAGGCAGTTGCCTCTGTTCCGTGCCGGTGGGAACATTGGCTCCTGCAGGACACCCAGCAGGCAGGCGCCACCCCACAGCCTCATTTTCTGGAGGGGGGGAGGGGGGGTGACAGCCCTGTCATCTAGAAGCCTGGATGCCAGCTGTGTGGGTCCTTGTCACTGACGTCCACAGGGCACACCACCGCCCACAGCCTCCCACGCTGAGCTCTCAGCTACAGGGCACATTTTTGTTTGGGGCATTTGGGGGTGAGGTGGGCCCAGGGACCCCACATGCCAGGCAGGCGCGGTGTACAGATCCTGACAGCTCTTTGAGGTCTAACCCACATCCCACTCTGCCTGCCGGGCCCCTGCCCTCTCTCAGCCTCAGGATATCACTCGAGGGACCTCTTTTTTTTTTTTTTTTTGTCGGTCGTGGGGCTTGAACTCTGGGCCTGGGCGCTGTCCCTCAGCTCTTCAGCTCAAGGCAAGTGCTCTACCACTTGAGCTACAGCGCCACTTCCGGTTTTCTGGTGGTTTATTGGAGATAGGAGTCTCACGGTCTCTCCTGCCCCGGCTGGCTTTGAACCGCGATCCTCAGATCTCAGCCTCCTGAGTAGCTAGGATTACAGGCGTGAGCCACCAGTGCCCGGCTTCTAGGGACCTCTTTGCCCTCTGACCAGGGACAGGTTCCTGGGCTGACTGTCCCTCATGGGCCTGCATCACACTAGGGGTTTGGGCGTGGCTTGTTGGTAGATAGGCTTCCATTTAAGACTCTAGGCCAGAAACAGAAAACCTACTTGAGCTGGCAGAGGGCAAGCAGCCTTGACGTCTGTGTGTGGCCAATCAGGAGGGCACATCCATCAGTTTCCATTCTCCTGCTTTGCATAAAATTGCAGGACTGAATCCCATTGGTCCACCCCTGAACCCATTTGGTGGGCCTAGATCACTCTGATTGGCCAGGCCAGGATCCTCTTCCTGGGTCAGGGAAGGGAACATGGGGCACTGGGCACCATTACCACCTTTCAGTTTGACCTTGTTGTCTCTCCATTTCTCCTTATCCAACGGTCCAGTCGGTGACAAGCAGCCCATGATTCTCAAATGGCGTATCCTGTCAGCCACCAATGACCTGGACCGAGTGTCAGCTGTGGCACTGCCCAAGCTGCCCATCTCACTCACCAACACTGACCTCAAGGTGGCCAGCGACACCCAGTTCTACCCTGGCCTCGGTATGCTGAGCTCAGAAACAGCTATCCCTACCCTGGGTGGGTCTGCTTACCAGGAGGTAAGCTCTGAGGGCCATGGGACCCTGGCCTGGCCTTGGGTCAACTCTGGTGAGGAAGCTGTCCTCATTGGAGGTATCCAGGGGCCTGTGAGCCTGCTGACCAGAGGCTGCATTCCTTAGTATATAAAGAGCTGTTGCAGCTTAGTAAGGCAGCGGTTGGGAATGTGAGTCAAAATCCCTTTCTGGAAAAGCAGCATGCAGTGATCACAGTGTGGTTCTAGATGTCCAAGCCCCACGTGCATGGTGGGCTTCCAGGACTGAGACTCAGTTTGCTCAGCTGTAAAGTGGAAGTGTGTCTGTGACTCGGCCCTCTCTTCTCCAGAGCTTGCTTGCTTTTTTTCTGTTGAATGAAAAGGACCCTTGTCAAAGTCTGCACGAGGCTGGGGGCCTTTATCTGTAGCCCCAGAGCGCCCCTGCTAACGCGAGAGCAGAGTCCAGCATGGCGGCCAGCCGGCCAGTCAGCTTTCAGGGGACAGATGGGGGGCTGGCGGCTGCTGACAGTGGTATGCATGGTGCCAGATGGCTTGCCCTAGGGTTCCAGGGCTAGCCCTCAGGTAGTGCAGCTTCCTCTGACCTGTGGTCTTGCCCTGCCATGGTGAGGTTCTTGGGTCTGGACCAGGGGTTCCAGGGGTCCCTCCCGTGGAGGTTCTCCCGACCTGTCCCCTGGAAGTGCCTGTCAGCCCAGACCAAGCTGGCTGGAGCCAGAAGCCCCCTGGTTCTGAGGGTCCTGTTAGCAAGGGGCGTGAGAACAGCTGCTCTTCCCCATGGAGGAGGCTGCCCTCACCCAGGGTCCCGAGCCATTCAAGCCCTGACCCCAGGCCTGTGTCTCCCAGGGCTGGCGCTGGCGTTCCACGATGGCAGTGTGCACATCGTGCACCGGCTGTCCCTGCAGACCATGGCCGTGTTCTACAGCTCTGCAGCCCCGCGCTCCTTGGATGAGCCCGCCATCAAGCGCCCGCGCACTACAGGCCCCGCTGTCCACTTCAAGGCCATGCAGCTGTCCTGGACCTCCCTGGCCCTCGTGGGCATCGACAACCACGGAAAGGTGAGTGCCAGCCAGCGTGACAGAGCTGACTGCAGGTGGGGTTCTTGTGGGGGAGAGGGAACCGTGAGCCCCTCCCTGCCCCATCCGCGGGAATTGACCTCCAGCCTGCCCTCCAGCTGAGGCAGACCCCTCGCATGTCACGGAGGCCATAGTGCCACATGGGAGCCTGATGCAGAGTGCAGTTAGGGCAAAGAACAAGCAGCGTGTGTGCGTGTGTGTGCATGTACCACGTGTGCCACACACTTGAGTGCTACAGGAGAGAGCTCCCCCCAGCCCCCTCCCTCACAGCCCACATCTGCTCCCCATACATTGTGGCCTACCTGTGGGATGGCCCAGCCCTGGAGAGCTCCGAGCTCTGTCTGGCAGGACTCCTGTCTGCGGAGGTCTCTGCAGACACCTTGGCACTCCTGATGGCTTTGTGCCAGCACCATCACCAGGCCTCTAGAGCTGCGAGTTCTTTATTTATCCTTGGCCTTGAACTCAGAGCCTTGCACTCTCTCTCCTGGCTTTTCATTCAAGGCTGGTCCTCGAGCACTTGAGCTATACCTCCCCTCCCGGCCTCTACAAGCTGGGTACCAGTGGCTCACAACTACAATCTTAGCTGCTTAGGAGGCTGAAATCTGAGGATCACAGCCAGGGCAGGAAAGTCTGTGAGACTCTTAGCTCCAATGAATCACCAAAAATCTGGAAGGGGTAGAGTATTGGTATTGGTTTGGTGGTTGTGGGGTTTGAACTTAGGGCCCTGCCCTTGCTTGTCCAAGTCCTCTTCTGCTTGATCCACGCGAATGGTTTTGAGAAGCCATCTGTGCCCCTGGATGCTCAGTGCTGTCCATGGCCCTGCCCCTCCAACTGTGGGCTGGCGGGCCTAGAGGGCCATGGGCAAGGGTGGGGGTGCCCCCTCCTGCCCACACCCCACCTCACCCCTCTGCCTCCCACAGCTTAGTATGCTGCGTATCTCACCTTCCCTGGGCCACCCTCTGGAGGCCAAGCTGGCCCTGCAACACCTGCTCTTCCTGCTGGAGTACTGCATGGTGACCGGCTATGACTGGTGGGACATCCTGCTGCACGTGCAGCCCGGCATGGTGCAGAGCCTGGTGGAGAAGCTGCACGAGGAGTACATGCGCCAGAAGCCCGCCCTGCAGCAGGTGAGCGCTGCCCGGGGCACAGGCGTCATGGGGTCGGCCCCCTCCCTGCTCACAGGGAGCTCCTTGGCAACAGACCAGCCATGAGGACCAATGGGTCCCCAACCAGTTGCAGGTTTCCAACCTGGCATGGGTGAATCTTCTGTGGGGGCAGTCCTGGGGTCCTGAGTGTGAGATTCTGGGTTCTAGACCCAGCAATACAATGAAAAATGGTTCTCAGCTGGACCCCAGTGGCTCGTGCCTATAATTCTAGCTACTCAGGAAGCTGAGATGTAAGGATCGTGGCTGGAGGCCAGCCCAGGCTCTTATCTCTAATTCACCATCAGAAAACCAGAAGCGGCGCTGTGGCTCAAAGTGGTAGAGCACTAACCTTGAGCTGAAGAGCTCAGGGACAGCGCCCAAACCCTGAGTTCAAGCCTCACCACTCACCAAAAAAAAATAAAATAAAAAGCTGAGGGACAGAGCCTAGGCCTTGAGTTCAAGTCCCAGCACCAGCACCAAGAAACAAAACAAAGCAATGGTTCTCAGGAGGGACTTGAGGGACAGCAGCCCTGTGTGTGGCAGGCTCAGAGCCGGCAGGATTGCCACTGGTGATGGCTGATACCTGCTACTTACAGCCTCGACTGTGTGAACCCCAAAGTGTCTTGACTGCCTTTCCAACCGGACTGGGTTGCCTCCCTCAGTAATGTGGACACTTGGAGACCCATTCCTTGCATGGGACTCCTTGCAGCTTCCAGTCTGCTCTCCACGCATCCCTGAGTGCCACCGCAGGTAGACTCTCAGGCTGAGCCCCCGCACCCTGCCCCAGCAACCAGGTCCTCTCCCCATTCAGCTAGTTGTAAGGAGAGAGGTCCCGTGGTGGTCCAGGCCCCAGGTGGGTGTCCCCAGGCAGCCTGGCTGCTCACTCACTGTCCTGCCCACCCCTCCCCCAGGTCCTCTCCACGCGCATCCTGGCCATGAAGGCCTCGCTGTGCAAGCTGTCACCGTGCACGGTGACCCGCGTGTGTGACTACCACACAAAGCTCTTCCTCATGGCCATCAGCTCCACACTCAAGTCCCTGCTGCGCCCCCACTTCCTCAACACGCCCGACAAGAGCCCCGGTGACCGGCTGGCCGAGATCTGCGCCAAGATCACCGACGTGGGTGGGTGACCCCTGGCCACTTCCGGCTCCCTTCCATTCCTGGCTGTAAAGGGATTAGGGTCCATGGTGGAAAGTTTTTTTTACCAAAGCCAGCTCACAGAAACCAGCCTGCTCAGAAGTGCTGCTGAACCTCACTCCTCCTGTTTGGGGAGCAGTGCTGGGGCTTCCGCTTAGGGCCTTGTGCTTGCTAGGCAGACACTCTTAACAACTGAGTCACACACCCCAGCCCTTTTGTGCTTTAGTTATGTTTCAGATAGGGTCTCAGGTTTCCCCAGGGCTGGCCTCTGACCTCAGTTCCCAGGTCAGTGCTGCCATACCCAGCTTGCTCATCCAGCTAGGCTTTTGCTAACTTCCTGCCTGGGCTCACCTCAAACCATCCAAGCCTGGCTTACAAGTGTGAGCCACCATACCAGGTGTGTCACTTTTCCCTTTTAAAAATGTATATTTCTGGGCTGGGAAGGTGGCTCAGTGGTAGAGCGCTTGCCTTGCATGCATGAGGCCCTGGGTTCGATTCCTCGGCACCACATAAGCAAAAAAGGAAAAAGCCAGAAGTGGCACTGTGGCTCAAGTGGTAGAGTGCTAGCCTTGAGCTGAAGAGCTGAGGGACAGCGCCCAGGCCCAGAGTTCAGGCCCCACAACCGGACCAAAAAAAAAAAAATGTATATTTCTAAGCCGGGTGCTGGTGGCTCACACCTATAATCCTAGCTACTCGGGAGGCTGAGATCTGAGGATCATGGTTCAAAGCCAGCCCAAGCAAGAAAGTCTATGGGACTCATCCCCAATAAACTGCCAATAAGCTGGAAATAGAGCTGTGTCTCAAGTGGTAGAATGCTAACCTTGGGCAAAAGAAGATCAAGGACACTTTCCAAGCCTTAAGTTCCAGCTCTAGTACTAGTAACAAAAAATTAAATATATATATATATATATATATATATATACATATATATATATATATATATCTTATTTATTTTATATTTATATTTCTTGGACTGGAGGTGCCGTTCAGGTGAAGCATTTTTTCACCTCATTCATGAGACCTGAAAAGGGCACCTGGGCTGTTCTCTGCAGACCGTCCTCTTCCCCACACGGACACCTACACCACACCTCTGCATCCAGGCTTTTTCTGTGAGTTTGGCATTTCCAGACTCCAGCCTACCGGTTGCAGATAACTTAGTCACACAGAGGCTCACTTCACCTCATGTAGCAAAAATAAAGTTTCCCTACTATTCCTTGGAAAACGTTCATGGCACCTTTTCACAGCCGTCTACTAGTCCCTCTACACAGGGCAGCGTGGTTTATACTTCCCCACTGCTGGACATGCAGATGGATAAATAGCTGATCACCTCTCACAGCCCGCAGGCCCTCTAGCCAGGAGCCGGGTGTTTTGTGATTTTTATTTTATTTTTTTGGAGGTGCTAGGGATGGAACCCAGGGGACCTTGCAAATTTAGGCAGAGATTATACCACTAAATTATAGCCCCAGCCTTTAGTTTGATGAGACAGTCTTACTAGTTGGCTCAAGCTAGCCTCGAACACTCCATCCTTCTACCTCAGCCTCCCAAGCCCTGGAATTACAGGTGTGTACCACCATACCACATCGCGTGTGAATGATTATTTCAGTAGGCTCATTCTGTGATCCACCTGAGAGGTGTCTGCTGTGGGTCTGCCAGGTACTGGGGGACAGGGTGCTTGCAGCTAACTGCAGGAGGTAGAGGTGGAGGTCCTCCCACACAGAGCTCACCCTTAAGGCAGGACCTGTGGTCCCCAGAGGAGTAGAGTTTCCACACACAGAGTCCCTGCAAAGGCACCCAGTTATGCAGAGGCCTGGAGGCCAGAAAGGCCCAAAGAAGGACCCTGCCCATACAAGGTGGGCTCTGGCCCTCTGCATAAAGCCTCAATCAGCCATGCCGCCCCTGGAGCACAGCAGGGGTCAGCTGGGTCAGTCTACGTGTGCGTTGTACACGTCACTCTCACAAGGGCCTGGGTACCCCTGACCGCCCCACACTTGTCTCCTTGCAGACATCGACAAGGTCATGATTAACCTCAAGACAGAGGAGTTTGTGCTGGACATGAACACGCTCCAGGCACTGCAGCAGCTCCTGCAGTGGGTGGGCGACTTCGTGCTCTACCTGCTGGCCAGCCTGCCCAACCAGGTGTGTGGTCCAGCCCTCCTCTGCCCACCCCTCGGCCCCTCCTCCTGCCCTCCCCTCCACAAAGCCCTGCCCACGGTCCCTGATCCCTCTTTACCTCCTGATCTCACTTTTATTCTCCAAGGACACTTCCTGTTTGCCCTCTTCCCAGCCCCAACCAGTTTTGTTTGTTTTGTGCCAGCCTTGGGGCTTGAACTCAGGGCCTGGGCTGTCCCTTAGCATTTTTTGTTCAAAGCTGTCACTCTAAAGCCTGGCCAGTGGCTCACGCCAGTAATCATAGCTACTGAGGAGGCTGAGATCTGAGGATCGCCGTTCAAAGCCAGCCAGAGCAGGAGAGTCAGTGAGACTCATCTCCAGTGAATCACCAGAAAACTGGAAGTGGCGCTGTGGAACTGGCACTTCACTACTTGAGCTACAGCTCCACTTCTAGCTTTTAGATGGCGAATTGGAAATAAGAGTCTTACAGACTTTCCTGCCCAGGGTTGGCTTCAAACCTGATCCTCAGATCTCAGCCTTCTGAGTAGGTGGGATTACAGGCGTGAGCCACCAGCACCTGGCTCATTCCTAACCTTATCCCTGAGGTTTGAGAACACAGGACAGGACAGGCCGCGCACGCTGCCTCTTTGCCACCTCCCCTCCTCAGCCCCCGGGTGCTCCCCTCCTCAGCCCCCGGCTGCTCCCCTCCTCAGCCCCCGGGTGCACATGTCCATTTGGCTGGGGGCTGTGTGTCCCTCCAGCTCCCTTAGTCAGGACACCAGAGGCCCCTCCCAGCCTCTGGGGGCTTGAGGCTATGGGATCACTTCCCCTCAGCCTCACAAGCCCAGCGAGCGCCTGCCGGCACTGTTTTCGATTGTCTTTCAGCCAGGTCCCCTGGTATTGTGGACGTCAGGGCCAGGTCATTCCCCGAGCTCCAGGTACTGGAGCTTGTTCATGGAGGTCTGCTCCATGGCAGACCCAGGGCCATACGTGGCTGGTTCTCACACTGAATATCTCTGTCCTCAGGGCTCCCCGCTGCGACCAGGCCACAGCTTCCTGCGCGACGGCACCTCACTGGGCATGCTGCGAGAACTGATGGTTGTGATCCGCATCTGGGGCCTGCTGAAGCCCAGCTGTCTGCCCGTGTACACGGCCACCTCAGATACCCAGGATAGCATGTCCCTGCTCTTCCGCCTGCTCACCAAACTGTGGATTTGCTGTGAGACTCCTCTTTCTTCCCATCTCCTCACCAGAATACATGTCCTGGATGTCTCCCTACCAACGCAGAAGCCCTGCCATTAGAAACAGCTCTGTCTTGGCTCTGGCCATGTCCCCAGCACCCAGCACCAACGCTGGCATGTATGGATGGTTGTTGACCATCAGTTGTTGACCATCAGCATCACAGGTGTCTGAGGTTACCGGGTGAAGCATGTCTGGGCAGCCAGGCTGTATTTCTTGCATCTCTGTGTCCATTCAGGGCACTGCATTCAACAGAGGATATCAGCTGGGTGGTGGCCCAGGTTCCTGTTTCACAGAGGAAATGCTAGGACCATGGAGAAGGGCCTTCCCTGTGTCCCAACCGGGGCAAGGCCGAGCCTTACTGAACAGGGCCCTGAAGCCCCATTGAACCTTGGTCCTCCAGATCTCAGTTGCTGCATTCTAGGCAGGCTGCTGAGCATGGTGTTCCCCCATTCTCTTTCCTACAGGCCGTGACGAGGGTCCAGCCAGTGAGCCCGACGAGGCACTGGTGGACGAATGCTGCTTACTGCCCAGCCAGCTGCTCGTGCCCAGCTTGGACTGGCTGCCCGCCAGCGACAGCCTGGTTAGCCGCCTACAGCCCAAGCAACCTCTTCGTCTGTTCTTTGGCCGGGCACCCCCACTTCCTGGCAGTGCCACCACCCTGCAGCTCGATGGCCTGGCCAGGTATGGGCCGCCCCTGCCCACCTTTGCCCGGGCTCTCTCTGGGAAACTTCTTCCCTCCCTGCCCACCCCCTCTTCCACGCCTGCCTTCGGTCCTTGGCATGGCCTAACAGTAGCAGGAGAAGGTTCCTCCACGATAGGTCATCTTCCCCAGGACCCCTGTGCAGTGTCTGCTCCCAGGTTCTTAGGGCATCCAGGGCTTCCAGCCCCTTCAGGGCTAAGCATGCCTGGAAGCAAGTCTTACCTCCAATGCAGACTATCTGAGCTGTGACACTGAGAGAAAGGAGCTGAGAGCTGGAGGCTCACACCCATCACCCTAGCCACTCAGAGGCTCCAGAGGTGAAGCCAGACAGGGCAGCAAAGTCTGTGAGACTGCCTCCAGGGAGCCAGCAAAAAGCTGGAACTGGAGGCATGGCTTGAGTGGCAGCGCACCAGCTGTGACAAGGCTGTGAGTTCAAGCCTCAGAACTGGCAAGAAAAAGAAAATCCCACTGCTCCCGGTGGGCTGTGAAGCCTTCCACAATTACACATATAATTGTGATCTGCCTTCATTTTATTTATTGGGGATAGACTTTGGGCTTGTACTGTTAGGCAAGTGCTACCGGCTGAGCTGCACCCACCCTCGTGTGTGTGTGTGTGTGTGTGTGTGTGTGTGTGTGTGTGTGTGTGTGTGTGGTGTGTGTGTGGTGTGTGTGTGTGTGTGGTGTGGGGGGTGTGGGGGTGTGTGTGGTGTGTGTGTGTGTGTGGTATTTGTGGTGTGTGTGTGGTATGTGTGTGTGTGGTATGTGTGTGTGTGGTATGTGTGTGTGGTGTGTGGTATGTGTGTGTGGTGTGTGTGTGTGTGTGTGTGTGTGTGTACACACGCATGTGCCAGTACTGGGGCTTGAACTCACTGCCTCATGCTTTTACTAAGCTTCCCCTCTCATGGTTGGCACTCTGCTACTTGAAGCCACACCTCTGCTCCAGTCCAGCATTTTTCTGGTTAATTGGAGATGAGGATGGAGATGGGTTTTTCTTTTTTTTTTTTCTTTTTGGCCAGGCTTGGCTTCGAACCTTAGCCCTCCACATCTCAGCCTCCTGGGTGTCTAGGATTACAGACATGAGCCTCAGGCACCCAGATTGGTCTTTGTATATATTTTTTTGTTTTTGTGTGTGTAGGTCCTGGGGCTTGAACTCAGAGCCTGGGCGCTATCCTTAAGCTTTTTTTGCTCAAGGTTAGCACTCTACCAATTGAGCCACAGCTCCACTTACAGCTTTTTGGTGGTTAATTGGAGATAAGAGTCCCACAGGAGCTGGGCGCCGGTGGCTCACGCCTGTAATCCTAGCTACTCAGGAGGCGAGATCTGAAGATTGCAGTTCAAAGCCAGCCCAGGCAGGAAAGTCCCGGAGACTCTTATCTCCAATAAACCACTCGAAAACCGGAAGTGATGCTGTGGCTCAAGTGGTAGAGTGCTCGCGTTGAGCTGAAGAGCGCAGGGACAGCGCCCAAGCCCAGAGTTCAAGTCCTATGACTGACCAAAAAAAAAAAAGGAGTCCCACAGGCTTTTCTGCCCAGGCTGGCTTTGAATTACAGTCTTCAGCATAACAGTCTTCAGATCTCAGCCTCCTTAGTAGCTCAGATCGCAGGATAAGCCACTGGGGCCTGGCTACTCTTTTTTTTTGTAATCAAAAGCATCACCCACCCTTTTCCTGTGCCATTTCCCCAGAGGTTGCCATGTAGGTCCTGCCCACTTAGGAAATGTCACTTGTGCTGACCCATGGATGTCTTCTTTCTTTTTTTTTGTCGGTTGTGGAGCTTGAACTCAGGGCCTGGGTGCTGTCCCTGAACTCAAGGCTAGTGCTCTACCTCTTTAAGCCACAGTGTCATTCCTGGTTTTCTCATAGTTAATTGGAAATAAGAGTTTCACAGCCTGGGAATGTGGCTTAGTGGTAGAGTGCTTACCTAGCATGCATGAAGCCCTGGGTTCGATTCCTCAGTACCACATAAACAGAAAAAGCTGGAAGTGGCACTGTGGCTCAAGTGGTGGAGTGCTAGCCTTGAGCAAAAAGCAGCTCAGGGACTTTTCTGCCTGCGCTGGCTTTGAACAGTGATCCTCAGATCTCAGCCTCCTGAGTAGCTAGGATGACAGGTGTGAGCCACCAATGCCTGGCTCTGTGGACGCCTTTACCATGTTGCTCCGCTGGGAGTGTGGAGGGAGACCACCCCGGCTCCTATCTCTAATGCCCTCTCCTCTCGTCCCAGGGCACCTGGCCAGCCCAAGATTGACCACCTGCGGAGGCTGCACCTGGGTGCCTACCCCACAGAGGAATGCAAGGCCTGTACCAGGTGAGGGAGCATCGTTTTGATACTCTGGGCTGCTGAGATGAAGCCTGGAGCTCTGCAGGGGTCCGGGCACCTCGGGGGAGGGGGAGCTGCATGTCCTGCTCCATCCCCCTGAGAACCCAGGAACCCAGTGTGGCAATGAATTGATGGCCGAGCAACCTTGGCTGCCACAAAGCAGGCTCCAACACCACATGAGTTAGCATGGCCGAGCAAGCGAGGGATCACTCAGCTGGTCTCTCCTGCACAGAGTGGCGAGGGATGTCCTGGGTGCAGGGAGCTGTTTTCTCACAGCAGGGGAAGGGCATGTGCAAAGTCCATAGGTGGGTGGAGCAGGCTAGAGGAATCCGGTCTACCCCCCTGGCCCCCCCAGGTGCGGCTGCGTCACCATGCTCAATTCTCCCAACGAGACGACAGCTGTGAAGCAGTGGGAGCAGCGGTGGATAAAGAACTGCCTGTGTGGGGGACTGTGGCGGAGGGTACCCCTGAGCTACTCCTGAAACCAGAACACTGTCTGCGCTGGGAATAGAGTTGCCAGGCCTGGGATGCCGTCCCTCACCCCGATGGAGGCCACACCTGGCGCCCTGCTGCTGTCCTCACGGCTAGGTGGCCTGGCGGTCACTGTCAGCGCCTCCGTCACTGGCCAAGGCCAGAGAGACTCAGTAAAGCTCTTGGCTGGGCACAGCTCAGCCCTGAAATGCAGCATCTTCTCTGTCTCAGCTGGAGCCCAGACGCCCCCTCAGGTCACTAGCAGGTGTCCTGGTACTGGAGCTCTAGCAAGGAGCATCCGGGTTGGCTCCAAGTAGTGTCCTTTTTAAATGTTTCGGGGAGGGTTGGGGGGGGGGGCACTGGGAATGTGGCTTCACGGTAGAGCGCTGGCCTAGCATGCATGAAGCCCTGGGTTTGATTCCTCAGTACCACATATACAGAAAAAGCCCAAGAGGCACTGTGGCTCAAGTGGTAGAGTGCTAGCCCTGAGCAAAAGCAGCTCAGAGACAGTGCCCAGGCCCTGAGTTCAAGCCCCAGGACTGGAAAAAAAAAAAGTTTCTGGTTATCCAGGAACTGAGATCTCATGCCTGTAATCCTTGCTACTTGGAAGGCTGAGATGTGAGGATTATGGTCTGAAGCCAGCTCAGGTGGGACAGTTCATGAGACTCTTTACCTCCAACGAACCAGCAAAAAGTAGGAAACAGAGCTGTGGCTTAAGTGATAGACCCTTGAGCAAAAAAGCCAAGTTAGAGCACAAGGCCCTGAGTTCAATACTCAGTACCTGCCCACATACACATATGCACACACCAAAAAACACATGTGAAATGTTCCTGCTGTGGGAGATGCCATTTGGGCTTCCTGCCTTGGTCTCCCTCTGATGCCCAAGGGAGCTGGACAGAATAAATAAATGTGCCTTAGGCCTTTGTTGTCCCTGTGGTTCTGTGTGGCCTTTGGTCGTAGCACTGTGCCCTAGAGGGCCCACATTGATGGAGCACTGAGTTAGATGCCAGGGGCAGGGGGCCGTGTGGGCAGAGGATGGGGATGGCAGGTGAGGGCCCTGGCCTCTCTCTGCCTTGCATCCATCTCTCCAGCCCCCATCACATCGCGGTGGGGGGCTCTGGGTTTCTGGGCTCAGCTGGCGCAAGCCGGCAGGGGTTCTGTCTCACACAGCTACCAGGCACTCGGTGATGATGTCTGCAAAGCCAGCCTGCCAGTCCCCTGCTGGCCTGTGTGGTCCATGGTAATTACTCCAGCTTTGGATCTGGAGGCTGAGGGTCAGCACCCCATGGAGAAGGAGTACAGGACACAGGTGGCCCGCAGGGGTGCGGGACCTGCCACCTGCGTGTGGTCTAAGCCGGCCTTGTCTGCAGTGGGAGTGGGCCCTCAGGATGGCGGAGCCTACCACATGGCAGGATCGGGTAGACGAGCCCTCTGAGGGGCCAAGGAGGAGTGGGACCTGGGCAGCTCAGTGCTTGACCTGACCTCACGCCCATGCTGAGGCTCTACGGCTCCTCCAGCGACACAGACCTGGCCTCCCACTCTGATGTTGGTGTGTAGGGCCCAGATCTCCACAGTTGGGGTGTTTGGTTTTCTTTTTTGTCTGTGTGTGCCCATCCTGGGATTTGAACTCAGGGCCTGGGTGCTGTCCCTGAGCTTTTTTGCTCAAGGCTAGCAATCTACAACTTGAACCACAGCTCCACTTCTGGCTTTATGCTGGTTCATTGGAGGTAAGGGTCTCACAGAATTGGGATCCAGTATGTTCTAAAGGCCAAGGGGACATGGGAACTGCTGTAGGGATTTTTCTGTCCTTGTTCCCACGCTGAGCAGTACCTGATCCTGAAGTCAGCAGCAGGGCACACCTACCATGTATCACCTGACTGGGTTCTCAGGTACAGATCCCTATTGTAGGCAGGGCAGGAGGTTACTAGCTTCCTCTCACCTCCTCCTCCTGAGGCTCTCCTCTCCAGCCCTCTGTCCTCCTCTTGACTGCATCATGAGGCTGAAGATGCACAGAGAGCCTTAGAGCTGGCTGCTGGTCCTCCCTCCATGGGAAGTAACCCCTTCTACCACTATGCTGGCCCTGGGGTACAACCTGTCCAGAAGAAGCAAGAATCCTGATTCCCAGGAGCCCATCTGCAGCCTGCTCTCCTTTTTTCTTTTTTTTTGGGGGGGGGGGGGTCCGGTCGTGGGGCCTGAACTCTGGGCCTAGGCACTGTCCCTCAGCTCTTCAGCTCAAAGCTAGTGCTCTACCACTTAAGCCACAGCGCCACTTCTGGCTTTTTTTTCTTTTTGCTTATATGGTGCTGAGGAATCGAACCCAGGGCCTCATGCATGCAAGGCAAGTGCTCTACCACTGAGCCACCTTCCCAGCCCCCTTTTTTCTTTTTTCTTTTTCCTTTTGTCAGTCATGAGGCTTGAACTCAGGGCCTGGCCACTTTCTTTGAGCTCTTTTGCTCAAGGCTAAAATTCTACCACTTTGAGCCACAGCACCATTTCAGTTTTCTGGTGGTTAACTGGAGATAACAGATTTTCTTGTCCAGGCTGACTTTGAACTGGGATCCTCAGATCTCAGCTAGGATTACACGTGTGAGCCACCAACACCCGGCTTACATCCTGCTCTTGACTTCCTATGGGTGAGGGAACCAGGCAGGATGGCGCTGGCCCACCCTCCCACACCTGGTCCGCCCTTCCTGGTGGCCCAGCCATCCCCTGCAGCCATGTGCGCATCTTCCCCTCTCAGCCTGCTTCTCTGGGAGATCCAGTAAACACATCTACTTGAAACAGCTGTGTGGGTCAAAGAGCCCCAGAACTGCCCCATTGCCCAGCCTTCTGATGTGGTGGATTTTGTTTGGTTGGTTATTTTTTTTTTTGGGGGGGGGCGGTTCTTTTTGTAGTACTGAAACTTCATTCCTAGACTCCAAGCACAAACTCCACGTGTTTCACGTGTCAGGTCTGGCCACTCAACACTATAGGCCAGATAGAGACACAGTAGAGAAAGGGGATTTAATACATGGCAGCCATGGAAAGACAGAACTTCACTTACAGCCGTCCTCAGTTTAAACAGGGAACTGGGAACAGGTAAGAAAGGTTTGCAAGCCGGGCGCTGATGGCTCACTCCTGTAATCCTAGCTACTCAGGAGGCTGAGATCTGAGGATCGCGGTTCAAAGCCAGCCCGGGCAGGAGAGACCGTGAGACTAGCTCCAATAAACCACCGGAAAACCGGAAGTGGCGCTGTAGCTCAAGTGGTAGAGCCCTTGCCAAGAGCTGAGGGACAGTGCCCAGGCCCAGAGTTCAAGCCCCACGACCGACAAAAAAAAAAAAAAAAAAGGTTTGCATAGTTTAAAAAAAAAACAAAAAAAACAGTCCCAGCTAGTCTGCAGTCCCAGCTAGTCTTCCTGGCTTATGCCTGTAATCCTAGCTACTCAGAAGCTGGAAATTGGAGGATTGCAAGTTCAAAGCCAGCCTGGGCAGCGAAGTCCAGGAGACTCTTTAGCTCTAATTAACCACCAGAAAACTGGAAGTGACTCAAATGGTAGAGCACTTGCCTTGAGCTGGAGAGCTCAGGGACAGCGCCCATGCCCAGAGTTCAAGACCCAGGACTGACCAAAAAGAAAGTAGGGGGCTGGCCAGGCACAGGTGGCTCACACCTGTAATCCTAGCTACTCAGGAGGCTGAGTTCTGAGGATCACAGTCTGAAGCCAGCCTGGATATTGAAGTCTGTGAGACTCTTATCTCCACTAAACTAAAAAAAAAAAAAAAAAGCTATAAATGGAACTGATTAAAAGTGATAGGCTGGGAAGGTGGCTCAGTGGTAGAGTTCTTGAAGCCCTGGGTTTAATCCCTCAGCACCACACCGCATGAGCAGAAAAAGCCAGAAGTGGCGCTGTGGCTCAAGTGGTAGAGTGCTAGCCTTGAGCTGAAGAGCTGAGGGACAGCGCCCAGGCCCAGAGTTCAAGCCCCATGACCAGCAAAAAAATAAAAATAAAAATGATAGAGTGCTAGCTTTGAGCAAAACAAGGTCAGGGACAGTGCCTAGGCCCTGAGTTCCAGCCAAAGGACCAGCACCAAAAAAAAAAGGAAAAACGAAGTAGGGTGCTGGATGCCCAGCTGTTGTCCAACTTTTAGTTAATTCACAGACCCAAACAAAGCAGCTTGCAAATTGCCCTTTCAAATACCAGGATTTGCTGGGCACAGGTGGCTAATGCCTATAATCTGAGGATCACGGTTCAAAGCCAGCTTGGGCCTTTCAGAAAGTCCTTGAGACTCTTATTTCCAGTTAACCACCAGAAAACTGGAAGGGGCACTGTGGGTCAAATGGTAGAGTGCTAGCCTTGAGCCAAAGAGCTCAGGAAAGCGCCTAGGCCCAGAATTCAAGCCCCACGACTGACAAAAACAAAAACAAAAAAAACCGCAGGATTTGAACTCAGAGCCGTAAGCTTGCTAGATAAATACTCTACCACTGAGCTACATCCCTAGCCCTTTCTTGTGTTGGTACTGGACTTTAATCTACCTATCAAGCTTCTTGTAGCTGAGATGACAGGTACATACCACCATGCCTAGCTTCCTTCCATTGAGATGGAGTCTCACAGACTCGTCTGTGCTTGCTAGCCTGGAATTGAGATCCTCCAATTGTAGCTAGGATTACAGGTGTGGGCAACCAACTTCTGGCTCTCCTGTTTGATTTGACTACAGAGGCTCCCCAACTCCAAGCCGGTAAATTAGAGCTTGAAAGACAATATTTAAACATGTCCCAGCTGGGCTTCTCTCCCAACAGGAAATCTACCCTTTTCTGCTATACAAACAAACACAGGGTGGTCCTCCCCAAGTGGACCGGGGCACACAGCTTGCTTTTGGCAGCCCAGCCCCACTGGCTATGCCAAATGAAATGCAAGATTCCCAGATAAACAGTGAAAATTTCTCCAGCAGATTTTTTCAGCACCCAGTGCTGAATGCATCTTTGACAGCTAGACTACGAAGAATGGACTACCTCTTACTTAAACATGGTGAAACTTAAAATTATAAGAAAATTAGTACTTAAAGACCAACCCTTGCTAATTATGGACATTCATGGGAAGGCCCCATGAGTTACCTTCTGTGCACAAAAATAGCTGCTAAAACCAAAACCAGGTGCTGGTGGCTAAGCCTGTAATCTTAGCTACTCAGGAGGCTGAGATCCAAGTGTCACCGTTTGAAGCCAGTCAGGGTAGGAAAGCCTGTGAGACTCTTATCTCCAATTAACCAGCAAAAGGCTGAAAGTAGGGCTGGGAAGGTGGCTCAGTGGTAGAGAGCTCGCCTTGCATGCTCAAAGCCCTGGGTTCGATTCCTCAGCACCACATAAGCAAAAAGAAAAAAAGCCGGAAGTGCCCAGTCCCAGAGTTCAGGCCCTACGACCGGACCCCCCCCCCCCCCAAAAAAAATAAATAAAGTACGCAGAGGAATGTAAGTGAACAAGCCAAATTGTAAAAACTCCTCCAGTATGAGTTCTTCCTCCAGTATGAGTTCTAAGTCCATGTTTTCATTCCCAAGGGAACACATGAGTTTTCTTCTCAGACCCTTAGTCTCCCCATAAACTGTGGCCCTCAATAGCTGTTCGTCCATGTAGGAGAAAAGGCACTTATCTTGGGTCTGGCTTCATTCCTCTATCACCTGTTCTGTCACTGCTCAAAAGGGAACTTGAATGCCGGGCACTGGTGGCGCACGCCTGTAATCCTAGCAACTCAGGAGGCTGAGATCTGAGGACTGGGGTTCAAAGCCAGCCTGGGCAGGAAAGTGTGAGACTTATTTTTTGGGGGGGGAGGGGGCGGTTCCGATCATGGGGCCTGAACTCTGGGCCTGGGCGCTGTCCCTCAGCTCTTCAGCTCAAGGCTAGTGCTCTACCACTTGAGTCACAGCGCCACTCCCGGCTTTTTTTCTTTTTGCTTATGTGGTGCTGAGAAATCGAACCCAGGGCCTCAGGCATGCAAGGCAAGCGCTCTACCACTGAGCCACCTTCCCAGCCCAAGTGTGAGATTCTTATCTCCAATAAACCACCAGAAAACCAGAAGTAGCACTGTGGCTCAAGTGGTAGATAGAGTACAGCGCCCAGGCCCAGAGTTCAAGCCCCACGACCAACCAAAAAAAAAAAAAAATCTAGGTCTGGGAAAGCAAGGGCGCTTCTGTGTGGTTGGTCTTGGAGACACCTGGCCTCCAAGGTGTCCAAGGTGGAAAGGCCCTGGGGCCTCTGGGCTCATGCCACGGAGCTCCCAGGCACAGGCCCTGGCTGCCCCCCCCCCCCCCCACTCCATGCTGGCTGCAGGTAGTCAACAAAGACGGGCAGGACACAGGTTTAAATGTCTTTATTTTTGTGTGTGCCAGTCCTGGGACTTGAGCTCGAGGCCTGGGCACTACCCTTGAGCTTTTGTGCTCCAGGCTAGCACCCTACCACAGCTCCACTTCCAGCTTTTTCTTTTTTGCTTTGCTTGCTAACTGAAGATAAAGACTTGCCCTGGTTTTCCTGCTCAGGCTGGCTTCGAAACTCCTGAGAAGCTAGGATTAAAGGCTTGCATGCTTTTAAAGTTGGGACTCTAGTGTCATCGTCATCGGCTCATAGGTTCCATTCGGCTGGTAGGTTCCGTTTGGGCCACCCCACCCGGCCATAATGCCATCAATCCAGCTTGTGTAGTTCGACACCCGCGTGTAGATGCCCGGCTTCTTGCGGTTGCCGCAGACGCGCGAGCCCGACGTGACCACGCCTTCGACCACGCCCCCGCACACCAGCGGGCCGCCGGAGTCTCCCTGTAGTGGGGCGGGACCGGCGCGTTACGCCCACCGAGGCCCCGCCTCTGCTAGCCTCGCGCACCGCCCAGGAAGGACATTGTAGTCTGTCAATCCCAAGCTCCACCCACCGGGGGCCCCGCCCCTCTGCGTGCCTCAGGCAGCTTCTAGGCCGGACATTGTAGTCCTAGCAACCCCAAGCTCCGCCCACAGAGGGGCCTCGGCTACATCCGGCCCCGCCCTCTTCAAGTCAGGCCCAGCAGATCCTGGCTCCACTCCTCTAGGGCCTCATCTGCTTTATTTCAGCCCCGCTTTCTGCCCTATCTCCAAGCGCCTTTCCAATCCTGGATCTTATTCTCAGGCTTGCATGTGTGTTTGCGTGTGCCGATCCTGGGGCTGGGGGTTGAACTCAGGGCTCGGGCGCCGTCCTTGAGCTTTTTCACTCAAGGCTGGCACTCTACCACTTCTGGCTTTTTGTTCGTTAATCGGAGATCAGAGTCTCTCGGACTCGGTGCTTGGGTCTATAATCCTATCTACTCTGGAGCCTGAGATCTGACGATCGCAGTTCGAAGCCAGCTTGGGCAGGAAAGCCTGTGAGACCTTTTTTTTGTCAGTCCCAGAACTCTCTTGCTCAAGGTGAGCACTCTACACTGAGCCACAGCGCCACTTCCGGTTTTTCTGGTGGTTAATTGGGGATGAGTCTCCCGGTCTTTTCCACCCAGACTGGCTTCGAACTTCGAACCTCAGATCTCAGCCTCCTGAGTAGCTAGAATTACAGGAGTGAACCAATGATACCCAACTCCCACCGCCCCGCATCCCTCCCTTGCTCTTCTTACCTGTCAGTGACCCGCCCCTCACCCCATCAGGCCACGCCCCCTAGCCCAGAGCCCCTCCCCTCTCTCCTGTAACTACACAAGCTCCGCCCCTCCACCTCCACCTCGCTCCATCCGGGTACCTGCCCCGGAGGCCCCGCCCCCGGCGCGGCCCCGCCCCTCCCACGCCCCGCCCCGCGCACCCTGCAGCTGTCGCGGCGGTTGCTCTGGGCGCACATCATGCTCTCGCTGATGGCGCCGTCGTAGTGGACGCGCTCGTTGCAGGTGGCGCGGTCCATCACGGGCAGCCGCACGTGCTGCAGGCGGTCGGGCCGGCGCCCGGCGTGGCTGACCACGCCCCAGCCTGCCACGTCGCAGAGCGTGCCGGGCGCCACGTCGCGGTTCTCGCGCTGCCAGGGCAGGGGCCGCACGGCGGGGCCCAGGGCCGCTTTCTCCGACAGCTGAGGGGGTGTGGACGGGGGAGGACGTCAGAGTCGGGGCTGGGGGCTAACACGAGGGGCGGGGCTGGGGGCGGGGCGGGGCGGGGCGGGGGCGCGGCTGAGGGCTAACACGAGGGGGCGGGGCGGGGCGCGCGGGGCGGGGCTGGGGGCTAACACGAGGGGGCGGGGCGGGGCTGGGGCGAGGGCGGGGCTGGGGGGGGCTAACACGAGGGGGCGGGGCTGGGGCGCAGGGCGGGGCGCGGCTGGGGGCTAACACGAGGGGGCGGGGCGCGGGGCGGGGCTGGGGGGGGCTAACACGAGGGGGCGGGGCTGGGGGCGGGTCGGGTCGCGGGGCGAGGGCTAACACGAGGGGGCGGAGCGGGGCGGGGCTGGGGGTGGAGCGGGGCTGGGGGCTAACACGAGGGGGCGGGGCGGGACTGGGGCGAGGACGGGGCTGGGGGCTAACACGAGGGGGCGGGGCTGGGGGGCTAACACGAGGGGGCGGGGCGGGACTGGGGCGAGGGTGGGGCTGGGGGGGGGCTAACACGAGGGGGGCGGGGCTGGGGGCGGGGCGAGTCGCGGGGCGAGGGCTAACACGAGGGGCGCGGGGGCGCGGGGCGGGGCGCGGGGGCGGGGGCGCGGGGCGGGGCGCGGGGCGGGGCGCGGGGCGGGGCGCGGGGCGGGGCGCGGGGCGGGGCGCGGGGCGGGGCGCGGGGCGGGGCGCGGGGCGGGGCGCGGGGCGCGGGGCGGGGCGCGGGGCGGGGCGCGGGGGCGGGGCGCGGGGGCGGGGCGCGGGGGGCGGGGCGCGCGGGCCGGGCCCGACCTGCAGCAGCAGGAGGTCATGCGCGATGGACTCGGGCCGGCTGTCCGGGTGGGGCACGGCGTGGAGCACGTCGTACCGGCGCTTGGTGGGCTCGGGCCGCGACAGCGAGTGCGCGCCCAGGAGCACCTGCATCTTCCCGTGGGCCCTGGGGACGGAGCGAGGCCCGCGTCGGGGCGGAGCCCCACCGGCCTCCTCCCCATGGCGGCCTCCCCCCCCACCGACCTCCCCCCCCCACCGGCCTCCTCCCCATGGCGGCCTCCCCCCACCGACCTCCCCCCCCACCGGCCTCCCCCCCCCACCGGCCTCCTCCCCATGGCGGCCTCCCCCCACCGGCCTCCTCCCCATGGCGGCCTCCCCCCCCACCAGCCTCCTCCCCCTGGTAGCCTCCCTCCCACCATCCTCCCCGTGGCTGCCTTCCCCCCACTGGCCTCTTCCCCCTGGCAGCCTCCTCCCCACCGGCCTCCTCCCCATGGCCGCCTCCTCCCCACTGGCCTCCTCCCCCTGGCAGCCTCTCCCCACTGGCCTCCTCTCCATGGCTGCCTCTCCCCATGGCCGCCTTCCCCCCACCGACCTCCTCCCCCAGGCAGCCTTCCCCCCACCAGCCTCCTCCCCCTGGTAGCCTCTTCCCACCGGCCTCCTCCCCATGGCCGCCTCCCCCCCCCCACTGGCCTCCTCCCCCTGGCAGCCTCTCCCCACCAGCCTCTTCCCCCTGGCAGACTTGGTCTATGGCAGCCCCCTCCCCATGGCCTCCTCCCTCCAACTTTCCTCCAAGGCAGTCTCACCGCATGGCAGCCTCCCCTCAGATTCTCCCTCCTCCCTCAGCTTCCTCGCCCACCCCCGGCCCTCCCCCCCCCCCCCCCCCCCCCCGCAGCCGGCCACTCACGCATCTTCCAGGCAGTGCGCCGCGCTCAGCACCCACTGCTCTGCCACCAGGACGCCGCCACACAGATGGGTCCCGTTCACCTGCACCGACGCCATGTAGGGCCGCTCGTGGGCCTTGGCCTCCTGCCCGCCCAGGATCCGTCCCCGGGGCTGTGCCGCTGCGGTGGGCAGGCAAGGGGGAGAACCGTGCGTGTACTTGAACCCCAGCACACCCCATCTGATCCAAGCCTGCCCTGAGATGAGATGCCCTCCCATACCCTCCCATCATTGTCCTGCCCCCCCCCCCCCCGGAGCTGCAACTGAAGCAGAAGTGCCCGAGTACCCGGCTCTTGGGCACACTGAGCCCAAACCTAAGTTGCCACTGGAGAGTTTCAGGTTCCCGCTGTAGAGGATGTGCACTCAGACGGCAGGATGGCAGGCTTTCACTGTAAGGGCTATCCGTTTGTGGACAGTCGGCCCCCCTTCAGCCTGCCTGCTGGGACTGGGCACGATGGGTCTCAATTGACTTCTGTGCATGCCTCTGCCCAGCACCCCTCCCACATCCACTCACCACACGCAGCCACCCACAGAAGCAGAGCTGCTAGGCACACCATGCTGAACACGGAGCCCCTGTGGCTGGGACAATGACCCAGACCGGTCAGGAGCCCTTTTATGGCTGGGGAGGGGGGAGGGGGCCCCATCTGCTGCTTTGGCAGTGGCCCAGCTGGGGAAAGGGAATCCACCCACCCAGCCTCTGTGCCTTCCAGAGTTTGAGCAGGCCCATGGGTGAGCCACCGCTTCCCTGCCTCCCCCCACACCCCCTGCCATTTACCCAGTGCCCACCCTATGGGAAGCAGCCCCTGAAATGAAGGAGAGGAGGGCTAGACCACCCAGCCCCCTACTCTACTTCTCCCAGACCTCAAGTGTCCTTCTAGCTTGAAGTTTCACAATCAGAGGCTGAGTTTGTAAACAACCCACTTCCATCTTCCCAACTCCCTCTCTGTTCTTTCTCTGTCAGCTTGAAGATAAAGTCCAGCTGGGTGCTGATGGCTCACACCTGTAATCCTAGCTACTTAGGCAGCTGAGATCTGAGGATCACAGTTCAAAGCCATCCTGGGCAGGAAAGTCCGTGAGACTTACCCCCAGTGAACCACCAGAAAACTGGAAGTGGCACTGTGGCTCAAATGGTAGAGCACTCACCTTGAGCTTAATAGCTGAGGGACAGTGCCCAGGCCCAGAGTTCAAGCCCCATGACTGACCAAAAAAAGGGGAGGGGCTGGGAAGGTGGCTCAGTGGTAGAGTACTTGCCTTGCATGCATGAGGCCCTGGGTTTGATTCCTCAGCACCTCATAAGCAGAAAAAAACAGAAGTGGCACTGTGGCTCAAAGTGGCAGGGTGCTAGCCTTGAGCTGAAGAGCTGAGGGACAGTGCCCAGGCCCAGAGTTCAGGCCCCACGACCGACAAAAAAAAAAAAAGAAAGAAAAAGTCCAGTAGGGCTAGGGACGGTCACTAACAGCATTGCCCCCATACCCTGATGGCCTTTCAGGGCCTGACACTCCAACAAATAGAATGTTGGGAAGATGGGAGGGAAGTACAGGCAGCTAAAGAAAATGAAGTCCAATGTAATGGAGCCTTCAATCAGGAAAGCTAAATGGGAAGTTTGGGGATTTCTGCCATCAGGTATGGCTTGATCCAGGTTCCTGAACAATGTCAGGAGTTGGATTCTGGTTTCTCCTTTCTTCCTTGAAGGCCCTTGTCCTCACCAAGGTTCCTTCTAAAGGTCCCAAGGAGGCTAAACTGACTGGTGGCCCCAGGAGTCAGTCCCTCCTAAAATCCCCATTATACCAACCCAAGTGTCAGGGCGGCCTATGATTGGCTGGGCTGTCTATGATTGGCTCCTTCTTGAACTAATCATTACAGGATTAAAGGCTGGACCTAACACATTTGTTGAAAGCAGATTTTAAAGAAGAGGAAAAAACCAAGTAGCACAGTATACCCTCTGCAACTGAAGAAAAGCAAGGCGCCAGTGACTCATGCCTGTAATCTTCTCTAGCCGGAGGCTGAGCTCTGACAAGTAAGGTTCAAAGCCAAACCAGGCAGGAAAGTCCATGAGACTTTTGTCTCCAACAAACTACAAAAAAAATCAGAAGTGGAGCTGTGGCTCAAGTATTAGAGCACTAGCCTTGAGCACAAAGGTTCAGGGACAATGCCCAGACTCTGAGTTCAAGCTCCAGGAATAGCACCAAAAAAACCCAAAACAAAACAAAAAGCAATTTGTCAGAGAAGTTGATAAATCTTAGATTGTGCAAACAAGAACATCCAAAGTTGCAACCAAATTTGGAAAGCATCCAGGGACCCAGCTAGAAGGGACAGTTCCATAAACAACCCTGAACTTGTACAGCTGCTGCTGACATGCAGAATTCTCCGAACTGTATTTAGTGGAAGAAGAGATCACAAGGCAGGAGGGAGAGTGGAGGGGAGGGGCTGCCCAGAGAAGGGCAGTGGGCAGAGCCCTGAGGTGGGGACTGAGGTAGACCATGTGCTTAACATGCTCCCCAACACTGCACACACATCAAAAGAGGGTCTTCGCTGGGCACTGGTGGCTCATGCCTGTAATCCTAATACTCAAGAGGCTGAGCTCTGAGAATCATAGTTCAAAGCCAGTCCATGCAAGATAGTCTGTGAGGGGCTGGGAAGGTGGCTCAGTGGTAGAGCGCTTGCCTTGCATGCATGAGGCCCTGGGTTCGATTCCTCAGCACCACATAAGCAAAAAGAAAAAAGCCGGAAGTGGCACTGTGGCTCAAGTGGTAGAGCACTAGCCTTGATCTGAAGAGCTGAGGACAGTGCCCAGGCCCAGAGTTCAGGCCCCACAACTGGACCCCCCCCCAAAAAAAAAACAAAACAAAAGGGCTGGGTAGGTGGCTCAGTGGTAGAGCGCTTGCCTTGCATGCTTGAGGCCCTGGGTTCGAGTCCTCAGCACCATATAAGCAAAAAGAAAAAAGCCAGAAGTGGCGCTGTGGCTCAAGTGGTAGAGCGCTAGCCTTGAGCTGAAGAGCTGAGGGACAGCGCCCAGGCCCAGAGTTCAGGTCCCAACAAAAAACAAACAAACAAAAAAAATTGTATCTGACCACACACCCAGCCATTGGTTGAAGTAGAATCTCTCGAATTTTTTTTTTTTGGACCAGTGTGGCCTCAAATGATCCAGTGAAAGTAGGAGTGTGTGTGTGTGTGTGTGTGTGTGTGTGTGTGTGTGTGTGTGTGTGTGTGTGTATACATGCCAATCTGAGGCTCGAACTCAGGGGCTTGGGTGCTGTCCTTGAGCTTTTTCTCTCAAGGTTGGTGCTCTACCATTTGAGCCACAACTCTGCTTCCATCATTTTAGTGGCTAATTGGAGATAAAATTCTCACAAACTTTCCTCCTGAGTAGCTAGGATTACAGGTGTAAGCCACTGGGGCCAGTGAAACTGGATTTTTTTTTTTTTGGCAGTTGTGCAGCTTGAACTCAGGGCCTGCCCCTGTCCCTGAGCTACTTTTGTTCAAGGTTAGAACTCTACCACTCAAGCCACAGCACCTCTTCTGGCCTTTTCTGTTTATGTGGTACTGAGGAATCGAACCCAGGACTTCATTCATGATAGGTAAGCATTGTAGTGCTAAGCAATGTTCCCAGCCCTGAAGCTGGATTTTAAAGAAGGAAAAAGAAAAGAAATGGCAGAAGATGTCCTTTTACAGGTAGTGGGAAAAGGCCAGGTGCTAGTGGCTGATGCCTTCAGGAGACTGAGATATGAGGATCCAGGTTCAAAGCCAACCAGAGAAGAAAAGTCTATGAAAGTTTTATTTCCAACTAACCAGCAAAAAGCCAGAAGTGAAGCCAGGCGCCGGTGGCTCACACCTGTAATCCTAGCTACTGAGGAGGCTGAGATCTGAGGATCACGGTTCGAAGCCAGCCCGGGCAGAAAAGTCCATGAGACTCTTTTTTTTTTTTTTTGGGGGGGGGGGGGTTCTGGTCGTGGGGCCTGAACTCTGGGCCTGGGCACTGTCCCTCAGCTCTTCAGCTCAAGGCTAGCACTCTACCACTTGAGCCACAGTGCCAATTCCGGCATTTTTTTTCTGCTTATGTGGTGCTGAGGAATCGAACCCAGGGCCTCAAGCATGTAAGGCAAGCGCTCTACCACTGAGCCACCTTCCCAGCCCGTCTGTGAGACTCTTATCTCCAATAAACCACTAGAAAACTGGAAGTGGCGCTGTGGCTCAAGTGGTAGAGCACTTGAGCTGAAGAGCTAAGGGACAGTGTCCAAGCCCAGAGTTCAAGCCCCACGACTGACACACACACACAAAAAGCCAGAAATGACACTGTGGTGCAAATGGTAGAACACTAGCCTTAAGCGACAAAGCCATTTGAGAGCACAAGGTCCTGAGTTCAAGCCCTTGTACTGGCATCAAATAACAGAAAGAGGAAGGGAGGAAGGAAGGAAAGAAGGAAGGAAGGAAAGAAAGGAAAGAAAGAAAGAAAGAAAGGAAAGAAAGAAAGAAAGCAAGCAGGCAGGCACACTGGGCTTTGAGCAAAACAAGCTCAAGGACATCATCTAGGCCTTGACTTCAAGCCTCAGGACTTGAGAGAAAAAAAAAAAAAGCAGAGGAGGAAGGGAAGGGAGGGAGGAAGGGAGGGAGGGAGGGACAGTGGGGAAGGAGGGACAGACTTATTTCTGGTCCTAATGTCTTGACACTGCTGTCACTAGGTGGCGGTGTGCTCAAGAGAGTCTGTACTCACTAACTTTTCTTAAGGCTCAATTGAACCAACAAGGAACACCGAACACATATTCTACAAAACGTCGGGAACTTTTATTGTTCAGCACAGAAAAGAGCCTCTTAGATAGCTGAGGTGGATTGGCCAGGGCGGTCTGCCCTAGTTGATCCTGCTTGCTGGGTCTCTGAGGTGGGGAACGGGGTGGTTGTCCTGGCGTCGAATAATGGAGTTAATCCAGTTGGCAAACTCTGCCACTGGCGCGAAGGCATCGGGGTAGATGCCAGAGCCGCAACTGCCCCGGATGAAGGAGTCGATGCCTTGGATCAGCCCGTTGCAGACCAGGGGCCCGCCGGAGTCCCCCTGTGCAGATGGAGAGGGTCTGAGGCTGGACCTTGAGACTCCTACCTGCCCACCAGGGTGGGGAAGACCTTCCTGGGGTCTGACCACTCCTTGAGGCTTGAGTAGCTGAGGCTGGGTGCAGAGGGGAGCATGGGATACTTACAAAGCAGATGCCGGCCCGTCGGCGTGGAACAATTGTGCACACATTTACACCGCGTCGGCACTGAGACGTCACCACGGTCACGTTGAGTTCCTGCAGGACACTGGGCACTGGCTGGTTGGTGCCCAGCCTGCCCCAGCCCATGGCCAGGCACTGCGTCCCATTGCCCACACCTTGGCCCTGAGCTGGCAGCCTCGCCACCTGCACATTGGCATTGATGGTAGCCGAGCCAGTGAGCTGCAGTCAGAGGGATCAGAGACCAAGATGTCAAGTGGAGGCAGCAGAAGGAAAGCCTCCCTTCCCGGTGCCTCAGTTTCCTCATCTGTAATGTGAAACCACCCACAATGCTGCAAAGTTGTCCCTGGAGGAAGCTGGAGGTCAGTAAACATAGCAGGTGTTCAATAGCAGCCCTCTCTGCCATCTTTTACTTTTCTTTTCTTTTCTTTTCCTTTTTTTTTTTTTCAGTTGTGGGACTTAAACTCAGGGCCTGGGTGCTGTCCCTGAGCTCTTTTGCTCATGGCTAGTGCTTTACCACTTAGAGCCACAGCAGTACCACTTCTGGTTTTCTGGTGGTTAATTGGAGATAAGAGATTCATAGACTTTCCTACCCAGGCTGGCTTTAAAGTGTGATCCTCAAACCTCAGCCTCCTGTGTAGCTAAGATTACAGACGTGAGGCACCAGTGCCCAGCTTCGGCCATTATTTTGCAAGCCAAGAGTCAGGACAGAGAGGAAATCCTGGCAAGCCTTCCACTTGGCTGGGTGCCAGTGACTTGTGCCCCTAATCCTAACTACTCAGAAGGCTGAAATGTGAGGATCATGGTTTGAAGCCAGCCCAGGCAGAAAGTTCATAAAACTCTTAGCTCCAGTTAAAGCAGCAAAACGCTAAAACTGGAGCTGTGGCTCAAGTGGTAGACCACTAGCCTTGAACAAAAAGGCTCAGGGACAGGCTCACACCTGTGATCCTAGCTACTCAGGAGGTTGAGATCTGAGGATCACGGTTCAACGCCAACCTGGGCAGGAAAGTCCGTGAGACTCTTATCTCCAATTTAAAAAAACCCACCAGAAAACCGCAAGTGGTGCTGTGGCTCAAGTGGTGGAGCGCTAGCCTTGAGCTGAAGAGCTGAGGGACAGCGCCCCTGAGTGGTCAGCCTCCAGTACTGCACCCAATGCACAATCTATCAAGTATCTCACCTGCCCCCCAAGGATGCACTTTTGCCCTATTCCCCAAAGACAGGGACTGCCCACACAGGCTGGGTGAACCGAGGGATTTGTTGACTGACAGCAGATGGGAACTTTCCTTTTTTCATCCCATTTAATCTCTTCACAGCTGTCCCAAGGGCAGGTTACCAAAGTAGGAACTGAGGCAGAGTCAGGACGAGGTACCCAGTTAGATCTGCCCTCTGGACCGCCCCCCCACATCTGCCCCCACAGTGCCCCCCGCCCCCCACATCTGCCCCCACAGTGCCCCCCGCCCCCCACATCTGCCCCTGCAGTGCCCCACCCCCCACCCCTTGGCCCTTACACCTGCAGCTCTCCCCCTCCCCCAGGCCTGTCTCCTCCCTGCAGGCACCTGGAGAACCACGATGTCGTTCAGCAGGCGAGTGGGGTCGTAGCCGTTCTCGAACACACGCTGCACCCTGAACGTCTGCCGGGTGGCGCGCTCTGCCTGCCGCAGGTTGTGAGCGCCCAGCACGGCAGACACCAACTGGGCATTCCTGGGAGGGCGGGATGGAGGAAGGTGTGTGTGGTCGTGGGGTGGGGCGCAAGGGATCCCCTCCCTGAGGACTTGCCCAGAGCCATCTGGGAGAGGGGGGAGCCTTGGTGACCCCAGACTTAGGACAAGCTCACAGGAGCCCTGCAATCATCACCCCGGACACACTGGAGACCCCCAGGCTGGGAGCTGGAGGAGACACTCACCTGCCATTCACGCAGTGTGCCGCAGACAAGACGAAGTTGGGGGCGATCAGGGTCCCCCCGCAGAAGTGGCCCCCGCGCTGCTGCAGGGACACCATGAAGGGCCATGCGTGGGGCCTGGCCGGCCGGCCACCCACAATCTCAGAGGCCAGTGCGGGGCCTGCAGGCCGGGGGGACATACAGGGTGGGGATGGTAAGGGCCTGAGAGGTGGCACTCCGAGAACACACAGCAGATGGGGAAACTGAGGCAGAGAGCAGAGCAGGGATTATCCACAGATTCCCTACACTTAAGTCTGGCTGCTGGATCTCCCCCCACCAGTGGATGTGAGGAACCCCCAGTTCTGGGCTCTTGGGCCTTGGTGACTTCTTTTTTTGTTGTTGTTGGTCATGGGGCTTGAACTCTGGACCTGGGCGCTGTTCCCCAACTCTTCAGCTCAAGGTGAGGGCTCTACCGCTTGAGCCACAGCTCCACTTCTGGTTTTCTGGTGGTTTACTGGAGATAAGAGTCTCACAGTCTCACGGGGGGCTGGGAAGGTGGTTCAGTGGTAGAGCGCTTGCCTTGCATGCTTGAGGCCCTGGGTTCGATTCCTCAGCACCACATAAGCAAAAGAAAAAGCCAAAAGTGGTGCTGTGACTCAAGTGGTAGAGTGCTAGCCTTGAGCTGAAGAGCTGAGGGACAGTGCCTAGGCCCAGAGTTCAGGCATCATGACCGCGCCCCCCCCCCCCAAAAAAAAGAGTCTCATGGACCTTCCTGCCCTGGCTGGCTTTGAACTATGCTCCTCAGATCTCAGCCTCTTGGGTGGTTAGGATTACAGGCGTGAGCTACCGGTGCCTGGGTGGTGACTTTTCTTCCTTCCTTCCTTCCTTCCTTCCTTCCTTCCTTCCTTCCTTCCTTCCTTCCTTCCTTCCTTCCTTCCTTCCTTCCTTCCTTTCTTTCTTTCTTTCTTTCTTTCTTTCTTTCTTTCTTTCTGTCTGTCTGTCTGTCTGTCTGTCTTTTTTGTCAATCCTGGGGCTTGAACTCAGGGCCTAGGCACTGTCCCTCAGTCTGTCTGTGCTCAAGGCTAGCATTCTACTACTTGAGTCACAGCACCACTTCTGTATGTGATACTGAGGAATCGAACTCAGGGCTTCATGCACGCTAGGCAAGCACTCTACCACTAAGCCCCTTCCAACTTGAACTCAGAGTCTGGATGCTGTCCCTGAGCTTTTTGCACTCAAGGTTAGAGCTCTACCACTTGAGCCACACTTCCATCTTTTTGCTGGTTCATTGGAGATAGTCTCACAGGCTTTCTCGCCTGGTTTGTACCATGATCTTCAGATCTCAGCCTCTGAGGTGCTAGGATTGCAGGTGCAAGCCACCTGTGCCCTGGCTGGCAATTTCCTTTTCCTCCTCCGACTCCTCCTTCTTGCCAGCTCTGGGGCCTGAACCACGGGTGCCTGGTTTGCTTGCTTTCTGGGTTCCTTGTCCTAGCTGCCATCCACCCATGAGGATGAGATTCAAACATACCCACGGGTGATGGGAAAGAGCCAGATGGCCAAGAGGATGGCCAGCACTAGTCAGTCACGGGTGGCTCACGCCAGTAATCCTACCTACTCAGGAGGCTGAGATCTAAGGTTCACAGTTCAAAGCCAGCTTGGAGGGCTGGGAAGTTGGCTTAATGGTAGAGTGCTTGTCTCCCAGGCATGAAGCCCTGGGTTTGATTCCTCAGTACCGCATACACTGAAAAAGCCAGAGTGGTGCTGTGGATCAATTAGTAAAGTGCCAGTCTTAAGCCAAAAAGCAAGGGACAGCACTCAGGCCCCAAATTCAAGTCTCAGCATGCACACCCATGCACGGACGCACACACGAGGATGATCAACATCATCACTCACCGCTTAATAGCAAGGCCAGCAGCGCAGCCATGAGAGCAGGGCCGGAGGGCGGGGAGACGGAGGTCATGGCGGTCCCGGGCTCCCTGAGGCTCTGTACCCACCTGGGGCCCGCCAGGCTCTCTTATAGCCCACACAGGGAGGCCGTTGCATTGCCCCACCCCAGCTGGCACCCCACTTCCTCTCCGGGAACATGCAGGGAGTAAAAGGAGCGGGGGGGGGGGGGGCCCAGGCTGGCAGCATGGTCTCCAGGTTTCATTCAGAACGCACGTTGAATGCCAGGTACACCATTTTATTGTGTGTGAGTATGTCCCAAATATAGCACATGACATGCGTTAGTCACCATCTAACTGCTGTCCACCTGTCACCTGGCAGACTCACCAAGAACTGAGAGGCCTTGACTGGCCCTGGCGCCTCAGTTTATGCAGAGCAAGGCAAACACCAGACTTGTTATTTCACTGGGGCCTAGGCTCTGTATCCAAGCCTGTCTGTGCTCAAGGCTAGCACTCTACCCCTTGAACCACAGCACCACTTCTGGCTTTTTCTGTGGATGTGGTACTGAGAAACCAAACCCAGGGCTTCATGAATGCTAGGCAAGCACTCTACCACTAACCTACATTCCCAACCCTAATTTTTTATTGTTGTTATTAAGGTGATGTACAGAGGAATGACAGTGACATACGTCTGATAAAGAGTACATTCCTGCGCTGGTGGCTCACATCTGTAATCCTAGCTACTCAGGAGGCTGAGATCTGAGGATCGCGGTTCAAAGCCAGCCTGGGCAAGAAAGTCTATGAGACTCTCATCTCCAATAAACCACTAGAAAAAAAAAAAAAAAAGGAAGTGGTGCTGTGGCTCAAGTGGTAGAGCGCTAGCCTTGAGCTGAAGAGCTGAGGGACAGCGCCCAGGCCCAGAGTTCAGGCTCCATGACCCACAAAAAGAAAAAAAAAAAGAATGCATTCCTTTTTAGATAATGTCACCTCTTCCTCAGCACCATCTTGACCTTTCCCCTTGGAGGGGCAAGGGGGCTCTTGGCTCTTTTAAGATAGGGAAACTGAGGCATATTGTGGACCCCATCCCAGCTATATAGCCCACCCAGCAACATAGCAAGGGAGCTGTGATTTTCCCTTTTATTTATTTATTTTTCATGTGCCAGTCCTCGGGATTGAATTCAGGGCCTAGGTGATGTCCCTAAGCTTTTGTGCTCAAGGCTAGTGCTCTACCACTTGAGCCCACTTCTGGCTTTTTTGCTGGTTCATTGGAGGTAAGAGTCTCCTGGACTTTCCTGAGTGGGCTGGCTTTGAACCATCATCTTCAGATCAGCCTTGTGAGTAGCTAGGATTACAAATGTGAACCACTTGTGCCCTGCTGAAGCTGTGATTGATTGATTGATTGATTGATTGATTGATTGGTTGGTTGGTTGGTTGGTTGCCAGCATATGGAGACCCACCCTGGCCCTAGCTGGACGGCTCTCTCTCAGTCACGAGTCTCCCTCTTGCTCTCTACCCAGAATCACTGCCTCCTGCCCCATCAGGCTTTATAAGCTCTCACACCAGAGTTCCTCCTGCCCTGCTGAGCTACACTGGACCCGGTAGGGACCTGACTGGAGTTCCTGGCAGGGCTCTGGACACAGCCTGGCTGCCAGAACATCTGGGTCTAGAGTGAAGAAAGAGCTGATGCCCCCAATGGAGAAGGACCCTGGGCCCAGCCACCCATCCGGACCTCCCCCATGCCGTGGCCAACAATGTCGCAAGACCAACGTCCCTGCTCCAACACAAGGTGTGGAGGAGGGAACCAACGGACAGACATTTCCAGAACAGTCAGGGGAGGGGCCGGGGCCCTGGGCCACCAGATCCTGGCAAACTGGAGTCTTTACTGTTTTTGGGTCAGTCATGGGGCTTGAACTCAGGGCCTGGACACTGTCTCTAAGCATTGTTTTTCTTTTTTTTTTGCTCAAGGCTTAGCCCTCTACCACTTACAGCCACAGCACCATTTCCAGCTTTTTGGTGGTTCATTGGAGATAAGAGTCTCACAGACTTTCCTGCCTGGGCTGGCTTCAAACTGCAATCCTCAGAACTCAGCCTCCTGAGTAGCTAAGATTACAGGTGTGAGCCACCAGCGCCGGACTTGCCTGGAGTCTTTTGTCCTGGGCTCCCCTAACAGGTGTGACTCTCCACGCCCTCATATTGCCAGGCATACAGCAGGCACTCAATCAGTGCCCATTGTCCCCAGCTTGGTCATACACACGCACACACACACACACACACACACGCGCACGCGCACACACACACGCACACACACACGCACGCGTGCACACACACACGCACACACACGCGCGCACACACACATGCGCACACACGCGCACACACACGCACACACGCACACACACACGCACGCACACACACACGCACGCGCGCACACACACGCACACACATACACACGCACACACACGCGCGCGCACGCGCACACGCACACACACACATACACACACACGCGCGCGCACACACACGCGCACACACACACGCACACACACACATACACACGCACACGCACACACGTGCGCGCACACACACGCACATACACACGCGCACACACACGCGCGCGCGCACATACATGCACACACGCGCGCGCGCGCACACACACGCACACACATGCGCAGACACACACGCACACACGCGCGCGCACACACACACACGCACGCACACGCACACGCACACACACGCGCGCGCACACGCGCGCACACACACACGCACACACACATACACACGCACGCACACGCACGTGCACACACACGCACACACACGCACACACGCGCGCGCACACACACGCATGCACACACACATACACACACGCGCGCACACACACGCACACACACACACACACTCTCTAACTGCTTTTGTCCTCTCTCCTTTCGGAGGAGTCCCCACGCTGCTGCCTTGAAGTCAGCATGGAGCACTTAGTGAATGCTTGCTGTTTGCACAACCCTGTCTCGTGTCCAGGAATGGAGCACACTAAAGGGCCATGTCTTTTGGTGGCTCTAACCCAAGAAAAGAGACCCAGAGTCAGGTGTACTCATTGAACACTGCCTGTATGTTATGTTCACCCGTGTTCTGGAGGCCAAGTGGGTCTGCTCTGGGTTCAAATCTCACTCCCTGGTGTGGAACTTCAGGCTGTTGACACCTCTGTGACTTAGTTTCCTCCTATCTAAAATGTGAGATTCGGCTAGGATTGTGGCTTAGTGGTAGAGAGCTTGCCTACCATGCATAAAGCCCTGGGCTCCATTCCTCAGGACCACATACTCAGAAAAAGCCAGAAGTGGGGCTGTGGCTCAAGTGGTAGAATGCTAACCTTGAGCAAAAGAAGCTCAGGGACAGTGCCCAGGCCCTGAGTTCAAGCCCCAGGACTGGATAAATAAATATGTGAGATACATTAATAGACTATCTCCCCTGTTGTAGCAAAGGTTGGATGAACTAGTAGCTATAAACTTGTTACACGGATGGTTCATGCCTGTAAACCTAGCTACTCAGGAAGCTGAGACCTGAGGATGGAGGTTTGAAGCCAGCCAGACAAGAAAGTCTGTGAGAATCTTATCTCCAATTAACCAGCAAAAAAGCCAGAAGTGGAGCTGTAGCTCAAGTGGTAAGGTGTTAGTTTTGAGCGAAAGAGCTCAGGGAGAGCACGCAGGCCCTGAATTCAAGCCTCAGTAATGACGCACACAAAGTGTTGTCTCTGAATATTTATCATTATTTATCACAGGAAGGCAGAAGATGGGCTCCAGGGTCCCATGATCAAACCAACAAGAAACATGGGTGCCTAATGGCAACCTTCCTTCCTCTGTGGGAGCCCAGGACCCAGAGGTGTTGGGGAGCCCCAGCAGCACACACTCTTCCCTGGGCCCTTTAGGGACACCACCTTCACTGAGATCTGTGTGCCAAAAGCCCTGTTCCATTCCTGTATTAGGGTTTCTCCATTTCCTTCTTTCTCTCCTTCTCTCCTTTCCTCCCTCCCTCCCTGTCTTCCTTCCTTCCTTCCTTCTTTCCTTCCTTCCTTCCTTCCTGCCTTTCTTCCTCTCTTCCTTCCTTCTTTCCTTCCTTTCTTCCTCCCTTCCTTCCTTCCTTCCTTCCTTTCCTTCCTTCCTTTCTTTCTCTCTTTCTTCTTCTTTTTCTTCTTTTTTTTTGACGTTGATTGTGGGCCTTAAACTCTGAGCCTGGACACTGTCCCTGAGCTCTTCAGCTCAAGACTAGCCCTCTACCATTTGAGCCATAGCACCACTTCTAGTTTTTGGGTGGTTAATTGGACATAAGAGTCTCATGGACTTTCTTACTCAGGCTGGCTTTGAACCTCCTGAGTAGCTAGGATGACAGGTGTGAGCCACTGGCGCCCGGCCTCTTTCTTCCTTTCTTTCCATCTCTCTTCCTTCCTTATCCTTTCTTCCAGCAATGGAAGCACAATTTTATGAATATATTACAAATAACAGTAACAGTGGCTTTTATGACATGTGAATTATAGTCTTTCTTTCCTCATTGTGTGTGTGTGTGTCTTTGTGGGTATGTGTTTGTGTGTTGGTACAACTGAGGCTTGAACTCAGGGCCTGAGTGTTGTCCCTTAAGCTTTTTTCTGCTCAAGGCCAGTGCTCTACTTCCTCGGACCGGCTCTGTCGGGACGATGGAGGACACCTAGTGGAGGAACTGGAATAGGTGGGGAGATGGCAAACAGACAACTCACACACAAGAGGAGTGGATGCTGAGTGCGATTTAATGCAGAGGATAACAAGCTTTTATAGCAAAAGTCTCCATGAGAAAGGGCAAAAGGTTGCACAATCTTGCTGCAAGGCTTCGTTCTTGGGTGGTCACCAGCTGGTCGCCTGATCTTGTTTTTTGGATGACGAGCTATGACGACAGGCACTTGTTTTCGGCTTTACCTCTATTTTTAAGAAATACAATGGGGGCTGGGAAGGTAGCTCAGTGGTAGAGCGCTTGCCTTGCATGCATGAGGCCCTGAGTTCGATTCCTCAGCACCACATAAGCAAAAAGAAAAAGAGCCGGAAGTGGCGCTGTGGCTCAAGTGGTAGAGCGCTAGCCTT